CTTTAGCAAATAGTTCTAAAATGTTCCATTATACACTTTTCAAAAATTCATTCAGTCTAGAGTTGTATTTGTCTGCTATCACTATCAACAAATTTCGTGTTGCACTAGCCCAGTTTCGCTGTAGCTCCCATACTCTCCATATTGAGACTGGTAGATACGTTAATACTCCACGAGAGCAGAGATTGTGCAATAGTTGCAACCAAAGATATGTCGAGAATGAATATCATTTTTTATTAATTTGTAACGCTTATGATGAACTTCGTCTTCAGTATTTACCACAGAAGTATTTTGTACATCCTACTCTTGCTAAATTCAATATGCTTATGGCGGTAAACAATGAAACTGTAATTAGAAATGTTGCAACTTTTATATACCATGCTATGAATGTTAGACTCCAAACACTAAGCCTATAAATGTTTATGATGGACCAAATATTGTACCATGGGCCGCTGGCCTACACATGTACATGAATAAAGAATTAGAATTAGAAAGATTTGGCACAGACTGAATTTCTAAATTGAACAGTCGATTGACATGCAGCTTTAGAAATTTTGAAGAATTTTTTTTTTGGATCTGCAAAAATAAGAAATATTTTGTTTGTCCTTCTGTGCATGTGTTTTCAACTAAGAGCAGTCTTTTTCTGACAGTTGTACACAGCAGGGCAGGTGTCTCTATTCCCTTTCTTGTGACTGGTCATATATACGTCTGTGACTAGTTGCACTCTACCTTCTCTATGTTTATTGTTCATGATGTTGGTACAAAAAATAGCTGCATTGCATTGGCTTTGCTGAAATCCAAACACAAGAAACACGAGTCTTTCTTTTGTGTCACAGCATGCCAGGCAATCATTTAGAGTACATGCCCTCAATGATGTTTCAGCTGAATGTGATCTGCCTTGATTAGTATAAGTAACTTTGCAATCTGACCTCACACTCAGTCTTCGATGACCACTGCAATGTCTCGGGTTTCAGCTCAGAAGTCATTAGCAGCCACCTTTGAAATGCCCGGCTTTATGTGGTCTGAATTTGATCTTCGCAACGACATCTTGTGTTCTCATCAACAAACTCACTGCACAAATTAAACATTTACCGGTAACTGAATTTTTCTACAAAACTGATTGCTTGAATCAAAGGTCAGGTTTACTGTATTCACTGTATTAAGCACCCTCCTCCAACAAGTGTGCCCTGATTGCCTAGACCAATCTGTAAGTAATCTCTATAACTTATATAACGTATAAGTGACCCCGACTAAGACTGAAAATATATATACCGGTAGTATATTTGTAGTATTGCTCAATAGATATTATTGAAAAAGTTTTAGTTTCATCAATGTTTGGAGCAATAGAAACTAAAAATTTTAGTCCATTTTTTATTTATTTATAATGATCATGATGATAACATGTAGCAAAACCCTTAAAATAGCAATTTTATATTAGTCATCATGATACCTTAACTATTGGGCAGTTTTGCAGGGACCGTAGGACTTCTACCAGTTTCTAATGGTGGTTTGAACTAAGATTGTTAACTGCTACTAGATCTATGAATTTTTTTTTTTATATGTGCCCCCATCTCTCAATTTTCTAAGTGCTTATTATGTCGAATACGGCACTGATGAAATAAGCAAACTTTGTTCCACAAAACTTGAATCTTTCTGATGAGAACCTTTACAAGGTCTCTGTTAGGTTTACTTCATTTGAATAGGTTCTAGTTAAGTTTGATGCAGGGTCGTGCAGGTCACCACAGATGATTCATGAATACCTGTATTAATTCATGAAAAAACAATGAATTCAAAAGCACCTGCATTTAGATTTCAAGGTCATTATGTTTCAAATTGGTAAAATATTTACCTGTCTTACATGATGCCACAATTGACGATGGATAGCAAGAATGTGTAAACTGTACAGAAATATAAATATAATTGTTTATTACCATGTGTGCACGAAACGTCCTCCACATGGGACACAGGTCTCATAAACATGTTATGTTTTTATTTGTGTATTATGAGCTACAAATTCCTGTGAATGGATAATGCATGTGGAAAATGTAGAAAAAAACGCAAAGAAAAGCGGTTCTTAAATATTTTGGAGCATGTTGCCATGGTTACTGTATTGCAAAATGCTACCTACTAACATGACTTCAATGTTGATGTTGATTTCACTTATATCTGTCTTTCCTTCTTCAGAACACACAAAACACCCTATCCTCTCTTAGTAGACTGTTTCGCCAGGAACACCCGCAAGGAGATTTCTGCGGAAATAATCGTAAAGATTCACAGTAATGCTGAAGAACTATGATTGTCAGCACGAAACTCGCCTGATTTATCAAGATCGGAGTTGTAACTCCAAATCAATCAGGATTAAGATATCTGATATTTCCAATATGAGGTCAGCATTCTTTTCTGAAGTGGTTGTGCCTGATGACTGTCAGAGCTTAAGGATTAACCAGCTTAGATTAAAAGTTGGACTGTTCTAATCCATGGCTTAGCATGCCTACAGGGACAGAATATTTCTGATTTGGAGTTAGCACTTGGCTGGAGATTATCAGGTCAAGGAGAAAAGATATATTTTGGGGCACTTACCTGAATAGTGATAATTATTGAATATATTTCTTTTTTTTTAATACCATTATATGGAGACTCTTTTTTTTTATAAGATGGTCATCAGAGCCCATTCATACATTATAAATAATATTATGTTAATAAAGCTACGACTTCTGTAAGCCTGTGTTTTGATGAATGTGGGAGTCATGGTTGTCGTAGTTCTAAGATTGTTTCATGCAAGTGGACCCAGGTGTGCAGTATTTTTCTTGCACTATTTGGCAAGGAGGCAGACCAGTGCAGTGTTTGAAATTATTTTAAAACCAAAGAAGACAGCAGGGTAGGTGACTCATAAGTGTTGCCTGCCCATCTTTAAAGTTACCTGCCCGCATTCAGGCATTATAAATGTTGAAAAATTGCCAAAAAAATATGAGACAAATCGTGTCTTGATTCGGTTGAAATAATGCAAACAACTACTTGAGAATAACAAGAGTCATCAGAAAATGACAAATCCCCCCAGCCCCTACAAATACAATAGCAAAAGGCACCACTTCAGCCCTTGGTTAATACATGTACCAAGTTTGGATGAAACATCTTTCACAGTTTTCAAGTTATGATCTGGAAACAAAATACAGACGGACAGACGGACCAGATGGTGACTATAATAAATCTGAATAAAACTGAATACGTAAGTAGTCTTAAAATTATCTGCCAGACTGTCCAGCAGGCGGAGGAAAATTTCATTCAGCCCTACAGAAAAGTTACCAGCCATGGGCAGGTGGGCAGGCAGTGATTTTGGACTGAAAGCATGAGTAACGATCAGGTTACACTGATAGCATTCTGCCAGGTCACAAAGTCTGACTACTAAATCCTGATTGACACATTGGAGACCTATTCTGATTCAAACTCAAATGTTTTAGTCAATTTTACATACCGTTTGTAGAATGTAGGCAAATATTACCCATAGGGGCATGGTTATTGGTGTAATTACTTTCTGTTATTCTCCCTGAGCATTATAATTTTTGCTTAATGCTGATTGGGAATTTATCCAAGTGTTCAATTGTTGAAAAGGGGCCCATAGCAGTATAACAGGTTTTTTATGTACGCATTGTCACAAATAACTGAAGATGACATGATCCATTGTTCATGATGTCACAAACGATTTTATGTGATGTCGTTCCAACAATAGCCCAACAGAACTGATTTCTCCACTTGAGATTAGAAAACCCACATTTTGTACATTTTCTCAGAATAAAAGGCTATAGGTAATATAAAGAATAACCGACTTGTAACTCATGAAGATCCGAGCGATGATTAAATAATTAATCTGTAATTCCTCATAGTTTGTATTTATTCTCTAAATATTTTGCCTATCAGTGCAGAGCTGGTAGTTTACCTGGGGGTTGTGAACTTGTGTTATAGTATAGTGTGTACACAGTAAATACTTGTCAGGCACTCGTGGAGTTTTTACTGTGCTGGTTGTTAGATGGTTGTTCTCCAGGTTTATGCAGGATTGTACTTCCCGGGTATACAGCATTGTATTGTCCTCACAGCCCATCACAATAACTCACTCCCGATCGGTTTATGAGGATGTCAAGTGAGCATCAGTGTGAATGAACAGTTCCTGGTAGTGGCTTGAGATAAGTGCCACAGTTGAAGTAGGTGTACGTTCAGGTGCAGAATAATATGATGTCTTTGCCTGACCTTTGAACAGTATTGTGGACATGACTATCTCCTCAAATAATATAACCCTATGTTTACAAATTCTTATCTTGCAAAACATATGTTAAATCTTTCTTTTGTCATCTCAAGATACAGATATGTTAACAATGAACCATCCTGCTAATGATTTCATTTTCAAATGAATGTAAATGTAGCCTGTAGTACATTGTTTTGTTTGTTTTGTTTGTTTGTTTGTTTGTTTGTATGTTGTTTAACGCCGCACTCTGCAATATTCCAGCTATATGACAGCGGTCTGTAAGTAATTAAGTCTCGACCAGAGAATCCAGTATTTGATGTCAAGCATCGATCTACCTAATTGGGATACGATGACATGCATCAACCAAGTCAGCGAGCTTGATCACCCAATCCCGTTAGTTGCCTCTTATGGCAAGCATGGGTTGTTGAAGACCAGTTCCTACCCGAATCTTCATGGGCCTGTGGTACATTGATGAATGTTTGATTACTCTGTTGATTACTGGCTTCGTAATGGTGTGAGCATCTACATCAAACATCAGTTGTAATAAACAAGTTGATCATTCATATATTTTTGTTTATTTTTATTTATAATATTCATATTTAATGAAAAAGTTGTTTGCCCAAACATTTGTATTAGAGATTTATTTACATTTGAAATTAATATGTGGCAGTAGACCTGTAAGAATATGTACAAATACACCACTAAAGAAGACATTTGCATATATCACCCCTTGTTAACACATTGTACCAACCTGTTTGTGTTACAGATGTGAGAACACTCAAGATGTGAGGGTGTCTGTAGGTGGAGACTGGCAACCATGTTCGAGGACTTTTTGGGTGAGAGTCCGGATCCTAGCACAGTTCCGGACACAGGAAAGGAACTGAAGATCCGGAAACCCATCTGTCCATATATTTGTGCAACGCCAGTTGATTTTGAGGACGAACTCAACTTCTTAGCTGAGAAGATCTACCCTCGTATCGTTGAGTTCTCCTTACAAAGAGGTGCCTATTTTAGCCCTGTTGACATTCGCTGGAAGCCTGATGACAGCATCATCCAGAACGGGCAACTCCTGCGCCTCCTGCTCGACTACATCCACAAATGCATGCCTTTCCTCATCTGCCTGTTAGGGGAGTGTTACGGCCCTTACCGCCCAGACAGTTCGGCCACACTCCCAAAATGTTTCACCAGCATCCCAGAATCATCTCCACCCCTGGACAGGAACTACATGGTGGCAGCGTCTGCAGGGTATGAGTGGGTTCTGGAGGAGTCTCACCAGAACTGTAGCCTGACGGAACTGGAGATCATCCAGGCAGCCTTCCTTGGGGACAGTGAACACTGCAACTTTTACTTCAGGCAGGCGGAACATTTGGAATACAAGTTTGCTGACTTAGGGGAGAATGAGAAGGAAGCCGCCTGTGCTATGTATCGGGAGGAGAGCGAGCATGCTGGACTGAAGATCGGAGACATGAAGCAGAGAATTGTGAAGAAGGGTCTGCCAGTGCAGTACTTCAAGACACCGGAGGAGCTGGGCAGCCTGGTGTTCAAAGACTGGACTGCTGTGGTGGACATGCTGTATCCTCCTCTTGAGAACTTTGAGTATTTCATAGGTAGGTACACGTTGCTTCCATTTCATTAAGTTGTGGAGAATGTTATCATGTTTGTCAATTTTTTCTTTAACATTTTGTGGCATTAGGAGAAACATATGCTGCTTGGATACCATTATGCAGTCAGTGATTAAGGCAGGGGCAGACTAAACATTTGGGATTGAAACTAGGAGTTGAGAAGAAAACAAGCTGATGCTATTACTCTTCAGAGGAAGTTGAACCTACTGTAGTTATACATAGTTATTGAAGCAGAATGGTTGTCTTCATATCAATTACAAATAGACCTTTTAGCTGGTTGTATATTGTGCAACTAAATAGGATTGGTTGGTGAGACAGAGGGATTTGGTTGATTGTGTGTATAGTAGCCCCACAGCATGGAATGGTTCTCATTGTATCAACCACTGGTTAGTCGTCATACTGTATGTCCTCTGCTATGAGTGCTGGGAATGGGCAAAAGCTCCCATCATTCAAAGCTTGTGGGAATTCCACCGTAAGAATAAAGACCCCTGGCAACCTATGCTTGTTGTAAGAAGTATAAACAAAGCCTATCAGTCAAAGACTGGGTCATTTGAGAGTGCAAGAATATCTCCTGCTGGTGATCTTAACATCTTATATATCAGTAATTAAGAAACGCAGGTACATGTAGTTTACATTACAGTCCATATGTTCAGATTGTCATCATGATCACAAGCTGAAAATGCCAAATAACAATTACAGGCTGGGGGACATGTTTATTTTACATAGAGCATCTGCAGTGATAAGGATTAACACTCGTCATCCTTAAGTGCGTTATTTTGGCATTGCTGCATCAAATTCAGTTCTGACACAAGAATTATCACTGATGTGAGGTGATTTGCTGTGCAGAGTTGCATCCTTTGGGCATGCCAAAAACCTGTGATTGTGGGTTCGTATCCTGGTTCGCCACGATTATGTTTCTAGGTTTGTCAGAACCATACACATGTTCATGGGTTTCACCAAAGTGGTAAACGTCTAAGACCTACATTACTTCAGGCCTTCCTCCCAAGTTAAGCTGACACACCATGATATAACAGGAATACTGTTCAAAGGAAAGCAGTGTTAAACCAAACCCAAATGTTTGAAAATGCCCTCCCATACCCCTTGTTTCAGTGAAAATGACTCCATTTTTTGTCACTGATGAGTGTAATAAAGGCCTATATATTGCAACCATCATGGAACGAGTTACGTTATGGTACTTAGAATGTTTTGTTTAGACAAGATGCTGCAGTATCTTATGTACCAGGGCTCCGTTGTTCAAAACAACCTTACCATTGCTACAGTCTTAGGTCTATGTTAAGGTATGGGAGTTATGATCTCCTTAGCGGTAAGATGGCTTTGTATAACGGCACCCAGGTCAGAAAGTCTTTCTCCAGGTTATCACTCTTAATACTTGTTGTTAAACCATAGCCACTGTTTTGTCCTGACCAGATACAGAGGAGTACACTGAATGGATGTCTCAGGAGTCGTTTGCTGAAAATCTTCGGCAGAAATTCATTGCCTCATCGACAAGTGACACTATCATGGATCATTTGACTGACTTTGCCCTGTCGGCCCTTGAGGAGGTCAGTATGGACATGGAAGTCGAGACCTTCTCCAAGTACAGAGCCTATTCTGCCAGCAGGGCTCTCAGGAAGAGGTGGGTAGCACTTCAGACAAACACTGTCATTGTTCTTGCAGCATTCAGTGTGCATTCACAAATGTTATTAACAATGGCCCTAACCCTAATATTTTTAAACATAATCTTTGTATTGAAAAGGTGGCCCTATAAGGCTGTAACACAAAAAAAGCAAAGTTTACTGGATCATAGCTGTCAACCCCTGGATGTCTAAATGAGTGAGAGCATTAGTGAAACAATTTCACATTTTGCATGTTGTTTTTCTACAAGTGTAAATTTGAATGGTGATATCAAGCTAATTTACTCAATCTGATGTGTTTTGTTTACAGTTGTGTAGGGATATATTTGGGTTACAACTACAAGAAATTGTGAAGGTGGTTAGGAATAAGATCTAAAGACATTTTACTTAAATCTGATTAAGGGCAAGACCGAGAATAACCAACTGTAATTCTTCATAGCTCGTTACTTATTCACATTATATACCATTAGGCAGGAGTCAAAATAAGAAAAACCATGATCGATTAGACATGTTTTAGGTTACTTTCCTAAGAATAACCTTTCAAAAGTTATAGCAAAAATAGATTTTTTTAAAGGAATATTTTTATTCAAAGTCAGCATTTGTACAATTTTACAAAATTTAGGGAATGAACTGGGTCTCGTCTGTAAAAATATTGGAAAATTTGAAGTTTTAACAAATTGTTATGGATTAATATAGTCATAGTAAAATAATATTTCAATTTCTATTTGTAAATAATTTAGGAATCACTTTTAGACAATTCCAGATCAGGTAGTAAGGGTTAAAATGAAGTCAAATTAAATATCTGCAATTTCAGACAAGTTAAGGGGAAAGAAGTGTAATCAATGTTTGCTGAAAAAAGCATCTAAAAAATGTGTCAGATTGTCATGACCTATCACATACTGCAGTATGCTAAATGTGGTTAGCGACACAGAAAGGAGTTCCCTCATTGGGCTGTGCATCACAGATAGATACAGGGGTGCGATGTATCACACATGAGTCACAGAAACAGCTGAGGTGGAGATGTACACTGAGAGAAATATCACAGAATTCGCCCAGTTTATTTTGCCAGCCTTACATTGGCCTGCATGTGGTGTTTTGCTGAGCAGGTGACTGACTACAACAGACTGTGGATTCATGTTAAAATAAACTTGTATTCCCTGCAAGTACAGGCATCAACGTAGAAAATATAAGCAATCTTTGAGTAGTTCTATATCTGTGTCCAACAACCTTAGACAATTAACAATCCTACACTGAAGTATATACAGTTGTTTGCCATTCTAAACAACATTTTTTATCTCTAATATCATGATGTGTTAGAATTTGGCATTAGACTAGACATCCCAGCAAACTCAAGGCTACATTTACATGGTAGCCAAATTTGTTAAAATGAGGAGTTTCTGATAATTTCTTTACGCTTTTGAACAAATTTGTATTAATATTTCTCTTCTTAATTGGAAAGACTTTCTCTTGCCCACACATTTTTATCTCCCGCCCAACAAAGTACATGCTGAACTGGTGCCTTTTGCTATTGAGAAATTTTAGAAAGTTTTATTTTTTACGTTTCCATGGCAACAATATGGACTTAGGTTCTGTGAGGGTAGGGTTCCTTTCTGGAGCATAACTCATAAACCGTTCAATATTTTTTCATGAAACTTTGCAGGTTTGTCAGGTCCATGCTGAACTGGTGCCTTTTTTCTGTTAAGAAATTTTAGAAACTTTTATTTTTTACATTTCCATGGCAACAAGATGGACTTAGGTTCCAAACTCTTCTGTTTTTTACAATTTCCATGACAAGTTCCACCTCAGTTAAAAAAGGTTAGGGTTTGTTTAGATTTAATTATGTCATAAATTCTGCAACAGGGGCAGGGGATATAGCCACGTTATCTTAGCTGCATGGGAATCTGAGGGCTTGACCTGGCTCAGTGAGAGTACAGTAGAACACGAATATAACGAACACGGATAGAGCGAACAAACGGATACAACGAACAGTTACAAAATCCCTGATTTATCTCCTATATATTATCATATAGAATTTACGTACATAACGAACTCTCTACAGCAAACTAACGGATATAGCGAACTGATATCTGAAAATGTATATAACGAACATGAATATTACAAACTGATTTTTCTGGTCCCTTGTAGTTTGTTATATTCATGTTCTACTGTAGTTTCAGCATATATTGGCAAAGAACTTATATAAGTGTTGAAAGTGAATCAACTTAGTAAGTCAGTTGGGTAAATCACTCTCTTGGATTCTTTTCATAATTTTGAGTGAGTGAGTGAGTGAGTGAGTATGGTTTTACACTGCTTCCAGCAATATTCCAACAACATCACAACAGGGGAGACAAGTAATAGGCTTCACCCATTGTTCCCACGAGTGGAATCGAAAGAATGACAGAATGAAAAGTAGTCCCGCTGACCAATAAAAAGCCAAGTTTTTTATAGAAAAACGGCATAACAGAACATTGAATACACTGCGTCTGGCTTCCTTTATGAGTAAGAACACCCAAGAAAAACCCTAAACTAGATGTCATTTTGTTGTGGCCTGAGCTATTTATGACACTAAAGAATTGGTGTCATGTTAAATCAATGTGTGACCTGGATTATGTCTGTCATTGCAGATTGTTTTTCCTGCTATCAACCTCTAGTTTGAATGGTTTAGTCAGCTTGCCAGGTGCAATTATTTACAGACTGAGAGGACATTTTGTTTGTGTTTGACATTGTTGTAAGTCCAGCTTTTTTCGTTTTGACTGGAAAATATTAGAATTAGGCGATTAACATTAAATGATGTTTACAGAAAGGCTTTGTGTGTTTCCATGACAACAGGAAAGAGGAGCCTTGTAAGAGGAAGTCATTGATGATCTTGTCAGGGGAGAGAGGGTCAGGCAAGTCTGCACTGGTGGCAAAATGGCTGAAGGTTTTTCACGAAGACAACCCTGAGGTGAAGGTCATCCACCATTTTGTTGGCTGCAGCGCACACAGCACTGACATCACCATCTTCCTCACACACTGCATCAAGCAACTACGTGCACATTTTCTCTCTCAAGGTATGTGGGCATGGTACATTCAGCATTAGTGGTAGACACAGGTGTTTTGAAAATGAACTGAAAACGCGTTATAAACATCATGTGAAATCCCTCTCATGAGTGAGAGAAAGTCTGTATGAAGTTAGAGATGTAGGATCAAAGGAGGTGGTGACATCACTTCCGAAATGCATCAGGATGGGTCCAGGGTGTTTATCATAACAGAATAGAGATATAACAGGGCTCCAGATAAGCTTTTGGTGTTTCGGGTATTTTACCTATGCATTTTAAAATCATTGGGTATCAGTAATTCTATCTGGGTATTCAAATTTCTGTTACCCACTAGTTTTTACACATGTGGGTATTTAAGTTAAATATTTAAAAACACAATTCATCTAGTCCCTGCAAACTGGTGTCGTGTGGGTTCGAGAGCTATATAGGACTAAAAAATACCATGATACTTCCACAAGAAAGTGTGATGGCAAATGATCACGATGTTACTGTCATCGTGGAGTTTGGCAAGGTTGACAGAATGCCTGTTTATAATTTCAAAATAAGTTGCTGATTTTCTAATCGAATACGCAGGGTTACTTCACAATATTTTGATGATACGCACAAGTTTTAATTTTGTAGCGTATCTGTAATGTTCTTTGCGTATTTGATACGCTTGGATTTTATTTTACTGCCTATTTCTACATTTCTGATGCGTAGTTTACGCAGATACACAGCTTATCTGGAGCTCTGTATAATACTCTGTATAAGCAAGGATCATGCTAAAGACGGTCTCAATATTTGTTACATGTAGTTGGTAGTTCTATGCAAACAGTGCACATGCATGGTATACACACCTGGCAGCTAAATACACAATACTGTTATGGGTGAGTGTGGTACACTTTCTCTTAGAGTTACAGGACTTCTAATGAAACATTGTCTCAGGATACTGTTATTACGTACATATACAGATTGCTGATAGCTATATTAATTCAGTCAAGTGACTTCATAATTGTAATATACTCAACAACAAAAGTTCCTGTGACACCAATATTTTAGTGTATTTTTCAAACAAGTAAAGTTTGGTTTTCAATATTGTAATACATGTATGGAATCAAGTCACAAAACGCAACTGCTACAGAAAAGCATGCATTCCATGCTAAAGTTGACTTTTATGCAAGCCCCATACATTTCACTACCCAAGAATGGGTATAAAAGCGTTAATGGGATTCCATATGCATTGTTTAGCATCGTGCTGACAACAACCACTCAGAAAAACAATAAAATTACGCAATTATTCAACATTATGAAATGCCATGCCTGTCCGAAAATGAGCGTCTACGAGCCATTGGTATGCTTGAAGCAGGATCGAGTCAACGTGATGTTGCAAGACAATTTAATGTCCACAGAAACACCATTTGGTGTTTATGTCAACGTTGGCAATAGACGAATGCATTAGGAGACCATCCTCGGAGTGGCAGGCCATGCGTAACCAATAAACGACAAGACAACTGGATTTGAACAACACACCTACGAAATCGATTCCAGCCAGCAACAGTGACTGCAAGAAGCATCCCTGGCCTTCGACGAATATCTTCACAAACCGTATGTCATCGCCTCAGATGTGCAGGGATTGTCGCCAGACGTCCCATTTTGTCAGGAAACCTGTCAAGCAAGTCTACAGTGGTGCAGACAGCGTCTACGCTGGATGGCCATGCAGTGGGGACAAGTTCTATTCACTGACAAGTCTCGTTTTCACCTCAGCCACAGCGATCGACTGTTTCGAGTGTACCGACGTTGAGGTGAACGTTATGTCAATCATTGTGTCATAGAAGAAGATTATAAGATTAACGCGGTAGCGTTATGGTATGGGGTGGGATTACAGCAAGACAGAGGACCCGTTTGATAGTGCTAGAGGGAAATCTCAATGGACAGCGCTACTGCGACGAGATCATCAGCCCTGTTGTTCTACCGTTTTTGTGTATCATGGCCCAGGAATTACCTTTCAACATGACAACGCCTGGCCTCATATTGCTCGATTTGTTCAGGATTTTCTTCAACAAAACAACGCGAATGTCATCCCCTGGCCGGCTCGCTCCCCTGATCTCTCACCAATCGAGCACATGTGGGATGAGATGGATCGGCGCCTTCGACGTCAACCATGTCTTCCACAGACACTCCAGGAACTTCGAAACATGCTCCAGCAGATATGGACAGATATCCCACAGGACTTTGTGCGACGCCTGGTCCATTCCATGAGACAAAGATGTGTTGCTTGCATCGCAACCAGAGGTGGAAACACACGCTATTGATTTGTAAATTGACATTTTGGCATGTTCATGTTTTTTATGAAATCATGCATTTTCTGAAGTCAGTATGGCAAATTAAACCATTTGAACACTTATGGGAGTCTTTTATCTGTTGCAAACCGAAATTTTTTCAGATTTGGTTAAAAACATACCTTTGCATTAAATCTTATTCAATGTCACAGGAACTTTTGTTGTTCAGAATATTTTAAGTATCACATAAATTGTAGCAGTATTACTCGGGGAACATTGGGTTTTGTGCTTTCCGTGTTAGGTTTTGTACCATGAGACCGAGGCGTGTGGTATAAAACCTAATGAGGGATGCATAACCTGCCATTGTAAAAGAATTTATACAAATTCAAAATTGACAGAAAATAGCTGTTTGATTGAGTTGAGGTAAACTTGTGCTATGTCACATGACTTTCATTGACTCGGAAAAAGTGTGTGTCTTTTTGCTTGGAAGCGGGGTATAAGGGATTTATTCTCCTTCTCAGAAATCCATGTGCAGCCTGTCTTCTTCGCGGCAGGGTATAAGGGACTTATTCTCTCGCTCAGAAATTTATTTTACTCCCATACGGGAAACATAGTATTTTATCAAGATCACGTGAACCAATCAGATCTCATCATTCTGACTTGGAAGTATGAGAAAGAAGGTTAGGAATATGTATATACCATACCTCCTGCAAACATTTTTGCCTTGACAACCACTCATATTCATTGCATCAAAACGCAGGTCTTCAGTTTCTATCAGTTTAGCCTTCAGTACTTTAAACCAAGAAAGCTACAGAACTGAAATGTTTGCTAGTTTGTTTTCAACTGCCTCTATCCAAAGTTTATACACTGGTCTGGTTTTCAATGAAGTCTTATTCACTACTAAACAAACCTTTTTTTCAATCCATGATTTTCATTTACTCAGATAACATAATGGTATTTAAAATGTTGCTAGTATGCTATAGCTTTCAACATTCAAACGTATTGAAAAGTATTTATTTTTTAGCACACCTGACTGAAGGTTGACCAGTGAAGATCCGGGTTAGAATAGGTCTACAGCAACCCATGCTTGCCATAAATATGCTTGTAGTAAGAGGTGAATAACAGGATCTGGTGGTCAGCTTCGCTGTCCTGGTTGATGCATGTCATCGTATCCCAATTGCATGGATCGATGCTGATGATGTCAATCACTGGCCAGGGATTGTCTGGTCCAGACTTGATTATTTACAGACTACTGTCATATGGCTGGAATATTGCTGAGTGCAGCATTAAACAACAACAAACAAACAAAATGAAAGTTAAGTGTGCTTGTCATGGCTTGATTGACAGACACATGGGATGACTCCAGTGACGGACCCTCTCAGTCCACAGACAGTGAAGACCAACCAACCAACTTCCCGGAGACATGTGAAGCATTCCTGGCCTCTGCCTCCCTGGGTCCGTGTGTCCTGGTCCTTGATGGGATAGATGAGCTGGGAAGCTCCCTCAACCTCACCCCACAGGAGGTAGAGTAGAGTGTAGCAAGGGGTGTGTTGTGAAGGTGATACTATCTCACCCCACAGGAGGTAGAGTGTAGCAAGGGGTGGGTAGTGAAGGTGATGCTGTCTCACCCATAGGAGGTAGTGTAGAGTGCAGCAAGAAGCTTGTAGTGATGGTGATGCTGTCTCACCCATAGGAAGTAGTGTAGTAGTGGGGGGGCAAGGGTGGGTAGTGAAGGTGATGCAGCCTCATCCAAAGCAAGTAGTGTAGTAGTGGGGGGCAAGGGTGGGTAGTGAAGGTGATGCAGCCTCACCCAAAGGAAGTAGTGTAGTACTGTTTGGCAAGGGGCGTGTAGTGAAGGGGATGCTGTCTCACACACAGGGGGTAGTGTAGTACTGTGTGGCATGGGTGGGTAGGGAAGGTGATGCAGCCTCACCCAGAGGGAGTAATGTAGGTCTGGGTGAGGGATGCACAAGTAAGGAACACTCTGTTCCATACCATACCATAGTAAGTAGTGTAGGTCTGGGTGTTGTAGTAACTAGTAGTAGAGTAACAATCACAATGCTATTTCACTTGAAAAGACAAAAAGGAAAAGTTAATAAATAGGACAAAAGTATGCATGATGCAATGAACAAGATGCTCTAAAGGTCTTTGTTTTACAGGTGAAGGAGTTCCTCTGGTTACCCTCCACACTACCACAGAAGTGTCGCATCATTGTCACAACCACCAGATCAGATCTGACCTTTCGCAATCTGTCCAAGAGGTCAGATGTCCAGCTGATCTCCATCCCGTCCATCACATCAGACTCCCACAAGATGCACTTCCTCCAGGACAGCATGAAGCAGCACTACTCCCACATCTCCAAGTCCTGCCTGCAGCACATCCTAGACATCAAGATGACCTGTCGCCCCCTCTTCCTCAGTGTACTCTCCGCTGAGATGCAGTGTTTTCATGTGTACATGCAGTTGGAAGAGTTCATTGAGGACAACCTGGAGGTGTGTTCTGTGCGGGAGTTCTGGACCAAGTGTCTGCGGAGGTGGACGAGTCACTACAGCTGGCAGCTGGACTCACATTCCACGGAAGAGGATGACAAGAAAGAGTTTGGTGCGTACAGCGGTCAGTCAGTTAATAGGGGCTAATTGTTCATAAGGAGGTATGGGTGGTCCAGCGGTCTAAGGCTCCGCAATTCACTGTGCAGAGTTGTGTCCCTTGGACACACCAGAATCCTATGATCGTGGATACAAATCCCGGTTTTTTAGATAGATAGATAGATTGGACCCAAGGAATTAAATATATATAAAATACATATAGAAAACTATCAATATTCAATGTAAATAACTATGTGGTTAAAATAATTATTTGGAGCCCTGATGGGACTGCTCATAATATCAATCACTGGTTTGCCTGGTCCAGACATGATTATGTATAGGCTGCTGTGATATAGCTGGAATGATGGGGTATGTGGCTCAAAGCAACATACATATAAAAAAACAAATGTGTAAGGTATCAAATGAAATTTACAGGTATCAAATCTATGTTTGAAACCTTTTACTTCAAACAACACAGTAAGTTTATCTTCCAGTTGACTATGTTATAAGGACTGTTTTAATTGCATTTTTTAGGTTAGAAATAACCGAGTTCATAAGAATTGTGTGTTCACGTGTTCAAATATCACTTCACGCGCACCAGTGTATTGTTTACATCCTCCAGACGGCATTGTTGACATAACTCAAATCTTATTGTGAAGTAAAGTTGGAATGACGTCACACTAGAAACGAGATCACTGCTGAAGAAATAATTTGTAATAAAGAAACTCTTACACTCACGTGTGTCATACTGGATTTACGAAACTCATGTCAGAATTCATGTATTGCCCTCACTTTCTCTGGAAAGACAAGAATTCGGACACATGTTTTGTAAAATTAGTATAACGTACTTACTCGTATAATAATCTCTACATATGAGACATTAACATAACCCTAGCTTGATGCTGTTACAGAATATGTTGGCTGGGTGTGTGATGCGCTCTGTCTCCTGGCTCTGTCAAGGAACGGCTTGTCACGGATCGAGGTCATGCAGCTGCTGCGGAACATGGGCTACGTTGGAAGTCTCGAGGTGTCTCATTACGACTGGCTGCAGTTCAGGTCATGTCTCGGGTCATCGGTTTACGACAAGGCGGATGGACTCATTGACTTCTCACACCAACATCTCAAGGAGATTGTGGAATATGTGGTGCTACGTAAGTAGACCCTGAATCATTGTCTTCCAGTTTCTTCCTCTTCTTCTTCTTCTTCTTCTTCTTCTTCTTCTTCTTCTTCGTCATCGTCATCGTCATCATCAGCATCAGCATCTTTATTCTGCATGGATGTAGGCCATTGGCCTTCACAGCTTCAGTTATGATGCAGCTAACTTTGAATTACACGTTCACACTTTTGTTTCTTAATTGCATTGCATGAAATGCAGTTAATTTAATAGTTAATTTATAATGGATCATAATGGCGAATGTTTACTGACACATTAACTATGTCATATGCAAAATGTTTCTTGTTCTTTATTCAACTTTTATGACACATCAATTAGGATTGATCGATGCTGATTTTCTTTACTGAGTTCAGTTAACAGTAAAGTACCTGTCATTGGCAACTCAAGGGTGGGCAACTCTATTTTTATCATGGTAACACTATTTTGTGTGTGATACGTGTTGATTATGTGGTTTAGATCACTTCCTGTTTTGGATTATGCATAATCAGTATTCATGCAACCTAGGGTGGGTCAAATGACATCGTTCAAACAAGTGGATTCTTTTCTAACCAATTTTGAATGGAGGTAGGGATAATTCCACTTCAAAAACATTCTAGAAACTATCATAAAAAAGTAACGTGTATACTTATAGTATATTGTATAGTAGTCGTGACATAATGCAAAGAGTCCTGTATTCGATCATGCTATGAAATATTGTGCTTAGTTTTGCATAAGTAAACTGTTGACAGGAGATGTAGATTACAAGATTTACCGATAACTTGATAATATAGCCATACTATACTGACGTGAACAAAGGCAAATCCTCATTCATATTGACATGTCTGCAATTTCTAAAAGATTCTCTTTTTTCTTAAATTAAGCAGATCCTGTGGGTTAAAAAGGGTCTTTATTCTTTATCCTTTGTTAATCTGGATGTTTCACTGGAACTGGCTTACTCTCACAGTATTAGTTCACTGATGGAAAGAAGTGACGGAAAGATGTGTTTAGCATCATGGATATCATGTTTACTTGCTCCTCCAACTGCAGCAACATATATTTTGATATTATCCCCGTGTTATGGGTTTTGGACGCTTAGAAACATTTGTAGTTTTCTCACAAATTACTAGAACAACCGTAAAACATCACACTCACTTATAAAAGACAACTTTATATAAAAATCAAGCCACCATCTGAGTATTTACCGGTACACTGTCTGTGTGAAGAAACAGCCCATCTTTATAGCAGGAGTACACGTGATAAACATGGTCGTCCGAAAACGTATGATGTCCGAAAACATATGATCCAACGATAATAGAATGGCATCCTCTAGCTATTCTTTACCATGGTGATTTCTTCATAAGGATGTCAAGGAAGATCAGTAACACAACTATTTTAACAATGTTTCACTTATCTACTCTCGTGATTTTAGCCACTAGTCTGAATCCCAAGTCTCGTGAAGTTTCTAGTGCATTATTCCATGTACGAAGACTAAACTATACTGAAAATAATCCCAAAATACAAGTGTGGACTTGTTGACTCAACAGTGTTTTGGCAGACTGAGTGTGGATTGCATAACAAACCCTTTAATGATACCATTTAACAATGTGTTGAAGCTGGCCAGATACCGATTTTCAAGGAGTACAAATATTGAATTGAACCTATTGTTGGGTGGAAGGGTTTTTCTGCGTGTTTACACCTATCATCTGCATCACAGAATCTAATGAGCAAGAGTTTGAGTTCGTGGGTGTCCACTAAAAGTAAATTCAGTAAAAAAGAATGTTTCTGTGTGCACCATTAAGGGGATGCAATGCAAATACAACCATGAACCATCTTATATGAGAAAGTCTTCATTGCAGAGAATGTTACATTTATTATTAACTCAATTGGGAAAAAACACTTAGCAGATTACGTGAATGGTACATATTTGTGGTATACCGTATTCAACGTAATAAGCGCCCCGCTCTAATAAGCGCCCACGGCGATATTTGCTAATATATTGGCTAGTGAACAATCCCAATTAGCACCCCTTCCGATTGATCAATGTACACAAGAGTTATTTATTCGTGTATAATACGCACTCGTGTGTTATATGCACCCTTAATTATGGGCAATTAAATTCTCGATAAATATGTCTGTCGTGTATAATACACACAGACTTTTAATTTTGTATCATTTCAGGCTGTCAGCATAAACCACGAAATTTACAATCTTTCAACTCAGGTTTTTTTCCTCCAAAATATTATTCTAATAAGAGCCCCCTATTTCAAATTTTGAGAGCGCCCTGGGCGCTTATTACGTCGAATACGGTATGTGTAATTGAATGGGTGGTTATGGCATGTCAGTGCCGTGTCCAGCCCCTTCCCACGTTCCCAAATAGTGTTATTTAATTGTTCTATCTCTGTTGTTACTAGGTATTGTGAAATCATCATCAAGTGACGTGAGCCGGAAGTCGGAGCTCGAGACAGAATGGGTGGAGAAGAAGAGGAAACTGCACAATCATCTCGCTGAGTATTTCAACGATCAGCCTCACTCCCAGAGGAAACTCCAGGAGTTACCATGGCAACTGATGATGGCAGGAGATCATGAAGCGCTCCTGGGATTTGTCACACACATTGAGTAAGAACAGTTATTCATTCTTAGATCATTACCTTGTGGATTCCAGGTGGGAATAGGTCCCAGCACTAGGGATGGGACGAGTCCAAATTTACTAACCCTATTTCCTGACCCTACCCGGGTACCCACTGTAGGTCTCAAGAGTTGGGAACAAAATGTCTGATTGGGAATTGTTTTACCGCAGCCCTGGCAAAAACTATTTAGATACATGTATCACATGATCAAATCATGTGTACACTGAAGTTGACTGAAACTTTATCTTTTCTCAATCATGTACAAGTCAAAGGAATGTGTACATTTTCAGAAAGAATTACAAACATTAGTGACTTGTAGTGTAACCAGTGAGTTTTTTGTCAGTAAACAATATGTAGCGGCCATAAAATTTCCGAGTCCCATGATGGGATTCGAACCACCAACCTTCTCATCAGAGGTCGGACGCCTTGTCCACATGACCAAAGAGGTTAACCCCGTCAGCAAACTGACAAGGTAAGGATGTCATCTGTGGGATGACTCCACGCCCTGCTACAAATATATCACATGACTAACCACGGGTCCAGGTAGTCCTGTCGGTACCCGGATTGTACTTAGGACCCTACCGACCAGACTACCCGAGTAAACTGTCCCAGCCCTACCCAGCACCCTATGCTGGTAGTAAGAGGCGACTACATGGACAGTCAGAGTCTGTGGTTTGGAAGTCATTCTACCCTGATGGTGTGGATTGTTGCTCATAATATCAATCACTAAATTGTCTGGTCCAGACCTGATTGTTTACAGACCGTTGTCATACAGGTGGAACATAGCTGAGTACGGAATTAAACAATACACACACACTTTTAGATCATTGGACTCCAGTGTCCCATTTGACAAGGAGATCGGTATGATTGCCATAACCCATAAAATATAACAAATCTTTCTCACAGTTATCCTATTCCACTATGTCCATTACATAAGCATTGCACAAACACACTGCACTATAAGCAGAGGTGGCTGCTGGATAGGCAAGTGGTTAGTGCATCGACTTGTCATGCACATACACTGGGCTCTAATGTTGTTTATCATACCTCCATGTCAGAATGAGATCTGATTGGTCCAGTGATCTTGATAAAATACTGTGTATTCCGCCTTGGAGGGGATTAATTTCTCAGTGGGGGAATAAATCTCTTATACCCCACCACAAGCAAGTCTGGCTGCACGTGGATTTCTGAGAGGCAGAATAAATCACTTATACCCTGCTTCAAAGTAAAAAGCTGCAAGATTTTTCCGAGTCAATGGAAGTCACGTGACAGTGCAAGCTAACCTCTCAGCTCAATCGAACAGCTGTTTTCTATCAATTTTGAATTTGTTTGAATTCTTTTACAATGCCATATTAGAACATGTCAGTAAGATTAATTCATTGTAGCAGGATCATTGGGGTACATGGGGTTTTATGCTCCAACGCGGGACACATAAAACCCCATGTACCCCGTGTTATCCAAGCTACAACTGATATTGTGTAAGCTGTTAATGATTTCCCAACATAAGTAGAAAGTGTTAAAACCTAGTACTTAAGAATTGTGCTTGTCTGAACACCAGATTTTGAGTTTTTAGTTCACACAATGTGCAAAGCTCATTTCGGGTGGTCCCTACAGTTTCTGGCTTGAATACTGCTTTGGTATAAATCTCTCACTCACTATTCCATGGAGCCTTGTGCATCAGTGTGCTGTGATTGCTGGCACTGGTTATATATACCCATGTTTGATCTCCAGCTACCTACTGGACTTGCTGGATGAGAAGGGCAAGTTCCCAGGCAACAGACATGACCTGAAGATGTACTGGGTGTACCTGTCGCGGCTGGGCCTGGAGGTGGACAACACATACTGCCAGCTGCTGGTCCGGATCGGGCTGCTGGAGTCCAGCCTCAAGGGCCTGCAGGTGATGACAACTCAGCCCCTGGTGGCACCCGCAGGTCCATCTGGGATGTGTGGTCGCAGCATGCATGCAATGTCACTGCACATTCCAAGAAAGTTATAAAAGTTAATTGGGGAATTCGTGAACATGAGCTATCACACATTTTCAGTTGTGTAGCATTGAATGCAAAAATCTCCAAAGATACGTTAAATAAACTCCCATCCTGGAAACATCCTCCATACAATTATTGAGGAACAGGAACAAGCAGGCAATGAGAGAGGTTGTTTTGATATATGACAATAACATCATCATCCAATGCTGTTAAAGTTGGGGAAATGACTTAAACATTTTGAAAGGCGTCTGATTTGGCAAGTATAGTGAACTGATTCAGTAAATATAATTTTTCCTTATCCTGACTCATATGCTAAAGCAATATGTATGACTCTGAGTCAGGAGAAGTATAAATGATCAAGCATTATTAGAAAAAAAGTAAATGTATTTTTTAAAGTAAAAATACAGCAATAGATTAGTCCTTAATTTGATCAATAAATAATATTGAAACGCTGGTGTGTGGAATAGGCTTGTTATTGGATGTACCAGTAGCATCTTTCTTGCAAGAAAGAAGCTAAGGATGTCGTAAACAAATCTCTTTCAAAGCATGCTGGCGTCTTTCTCAATATGTATTTAGATTTGGTCACTTCAGTTTTGTATGAACCATGAATTATCAGATTTAAACGGCTTATTTCCTCTTGCAGCCCGTGATGATGACAGAGGTACCCGATGACTCGGACTCGGAGGATGCGAGGAGTGTGGAGATCTCCGATCCCAGGAAGTCCACCATCCTCCACACCCCGGTCCTCCGATATCCAGAGCAGCTGTCTGTTATAGAGGAGGGGTACAGCGAGTCAGACGAGAGATTCAGCCAGCAGGTGAGGAGGATGCTTATGATTATACAGCCGAACCATTCTATGATGCTACCTAGTATGATGCCACTCGATCAGCATCCTCTGTAATCTCACTGACCACATGGGGAAACGGGTTAGAATAGGTCCCCAGCAACCTATATTTGTCATAAGAGATGACCAAGTGGATCGGATTGTCCGATTGTGGTGGTCACACTTTAACGCAATCCAGTCTGTGCCCAAAATGCCCATGTCTAACAGCTCAAGTTAGTCTTTTTGTATCATTAATTTAGATTTTAGTGTTAATGTACAGGCTATCAGTTACTGTTCTTGATAGTAGACAGAAAGACATTTTTCAAACCCTGGCTTCATACAAGTGACTGAAGTTGCAGTCTTCCACTCCAATTCAATTCCTCATTCTGTCAAGATGGGAATGAAACTCCATATCCATAATGTAGAAAACATTCAGCCAAGCAATTTTAGGTTTTTGGTAGAATTTAAGTTATGGAATTGGAAAATGCTAAAAGAATCATATAATATCAAATGTAAAGCAGTATTATGTTTATATTGCTACTAAGAATAACATTTGAGCTTACTTGTGTGGTTCGTTTTCCTGCTAATGAGAAAAGGTATTTTGTTTTACAGTCAGAAGTATTAAAAGAAGAAGAAAAAATATGCATATCAGACAAAGGTGAGTGGCAAACACATTCTCAGTAATAATAATAGTAATTGTAATTCTACCCACATAGACCGCCTCTGTGGTCAAGTGGATAAAGTGTCTGCCCGGAGGGTGGAAGGTTGGTGGTTTGATACCCAGCAGCATCAATTGTCATTTCCCAGGCTAGCGCCTGGCATTAAGGGAATACAACGGCTCGGAGTCAGTATACTGTGTCTGAGTGGGGTATCCATGTTAAACTGTGGCATGGGCTAGCACTAGTAGTAGCAATAGTCCTGACTAGTACAAGCAGTCACGCACACACACACACAGGCATGTTGCTCTATGTGTGCAAAAAAATTAAACGCAACATTCGAACCTACTTCCCATGTAGGGTTTGAGTGAGTGAGTGAGTGAGTTGGGTTTAAGGCAGCTTTTAACAGTATTCCAGTTATATCGTGGCGTGTCAGCTTAATGTGGGAAGAAAGCCCGAAGGGATGCAGGTCTCAGACGTTTACCACTTCGGTGAAACGAGCACGGGTATGGTGCTGACAAACCTAGAAACATAATCAGGGCGAACCGGGATTTGAACCTACAATCATAGGTTTCTGGCGTGCCGAAGGGACGCAACTCTGCACAGTGAATCGCGGTGCCTTAGACGACTGGGCCACCCATGCCCCCGATGTAAGGTTTGAATCCCATAATGCCGTGATTATGATCCATGGTCTGTCTGCACCATACCAGTGCTCGTAGGTTGCATCAATAAGTAACCATCAACAACCTGCATCACTTTGGAGATCAACATACAGTGTTTACAAGCTAGGTTACCAGTAGATTTAACCATGCAAAGTTTAATTTGAAGCCGAACGCACAGCATGAGCTTTCAAATGTAAAATTTAGCTTGGTACATATATTTATTTAAATATGCCTACTGACAATGAATGTAAAAGAAGAACTATTGTAAAAATATTGGCTTCAATGGTGATGCAGCTGTCAAATCAACTGTTTCAATCAAGGTGGGTTTATTGTGATTTGGTACCACTGACTGAACAATCAAAATCGAGTATTTTCCAAGTTCATAGTAGAATTCATGGTTTTCCTGCAAATTTAACCTGACATGATGTAACTGAAATACTGTCAAGGTGCACAAAACCCAACTCACTCACCTCTTCTGTCTGATATGCCTTAACGTGAGTACAGTAGCATCAGGTAATAGGGCTGCGACGGGTAACTCGGGTACTTGGGTAGGGTGTGGTACTGAGTAGGACTACCCGGACCCGTGGTTACTCAGGTGATATATTGTTTATTGACAAAAATTATCTAAAACTCAATGGTTACACCACAAGTGACAAATGTTCACATTTCTTTCCGACTATGCACGCATTCCTTCTGACTTTATGTTTGCATAAAGATAAAGCTTCAGTCAACTTCAGTGTATGCATGACCAGATCATTTTATACGTGTATCTAAATACGTCAAATGTTTCCCAATTGGACATTTTGTACCTATCTCTTGAGACCTACAGCGGGTACCCGGGTAGGGTCGGGTAATAGTGGGGTGGGTACTCGTCCCAGCAATATATTTGTAAGAAGATTGATAAGATGGGAATAACTGCAGATTTACTGATGTCGTGAAGGACTATTTCATCTCATTGTGTATGAAGAACAGAAATGTTATTTTTGCAGGACTGGTTACCTCCCTTGCATGGCACATCAGTCAGTTCTTGCTGGAGCTTGGTCACGCTGACACCACAGAGCAGATCCTCACAGGCCTCCTCGAGTACCTCTGCAGGGTCAGTACTAGGCTCTCCTACAGCCCATACTTCTTACAAAACAATCTCATCCCCTTTATCTTGAGCAGCTTATTCTCATCCCCTCTTCAGCTCTCGGAATTAAGAAATTAAGTGATGCCTGGGTACAGTAATATGAACAGGCTGGATGGGATCTCATTTTTGTGTCTTTGGATCTCAAATATTTCAACATGAAGTCAAGAAGCTGTTATGGATAACACCTCTTCATTGTTTGTAACAACGTTTCAGGGCTACCTTTTGCCTCTTCATCAGGTGAACACTGAGTAATCGTATGGAGTTCATATATGTACATGCTGATATAATGCATGTTAAAAATTGTTTGAACTATCGGATGAGATTTTGTATCAAGTCGCACTGTTTATTTCCATGTTAGCAGACAGTTTCGCTCAAGCAATTATAGTAGCTTGCCTACCATGTATACAGAACAGTTTGTGCCTCAGTGTTGGATGGTAATAAGTAATGTTTTATAATCCTGTAAATTGGGACGGTGCATTTCAGAAGTAAAATGTCAGTGTACCTTTGCCCTGTACATGTGAAAAAACATGCAGGATTATGGAGGACCATGACGTAGACATCACTTTGAATGATTAAGATGACATTCACCCATTCCTATCGTTCTTGTCAGTTCCATATTTCACAGAATTTTAGATCTAGAAACAAGGAGGTGACCTGTATATGATTTTTCTTATTTATCGAAAGCATCGTCAGTGTTTTACTCTTTATGTTTGTTTGTTGTTCAATGCCACTCTCAGCAGTATTCCAGCTATATCAGTTAGGGTGGTCTCTTGCCCACGCGGCAATTCATTTCCCATAACTCTGTGTAGAAATTCAGTTTGGCCTGTTTTTACATTTTTTCCCCTTTTTGTTATCAAAAAAGTATTAACTTGCATGAAGAAAGACACAAATAGTAACATACATTCATTATGTTTGTATTAATGAACTTTTGAAATTTTTTTAACAGTAATCTTGACTATATGATAGCGGTCTGTAAATAATCGATGAAGTCTGGACCAGACAATTCAGTGACCGATATTCTGAGCACTAATCCATGCCATCCGGGTGTGACGACATACAATCAACTAAGTCCTCAAACCTGACCACCCAATCCATTTGGTCGCCTCATACAACGAGCATAGGTTACTGGGGACCTATTCTAACCTGGAAATCCCACAGGGTTTTCTCCCTTTGTTCTAAAGAAATACAGAATACAGCTCTCAAAATGACCTTTTCATTTCCCTTTGATGTAGAACTACCCATTGAGCTGCAATGAGCTGAAGGTGATGGCGGAGTGTCAGGAGATGCTCGGAAACATCCACCATTCCCGGGGTGACATGAGGCGCTGTGAGGGCTGCTACAGACGAGCGCTCAGGATCATTGTCGACCTCCTGGAGAAGAATGATGAGGACATTGACATCACTCGACTACAGGTGCTAAAAGGTAGGTGTGTTCTTCTATTACAGTGATTCAATACTGCTTTATGAGGCAGCAATATTCCAGCTACGTGCCGGCAGCCTCTGGACCAGTGCCACCAGGGTACAATGACACAATCAGTCAAGAGCCTGACAACTCAATCCCCATTTTAGTCATCTCCTACAACAAGCAGCAACTATCCCCATAAGGAGGAAGACGTTTCACAAACGTTACAACAGAAAGGCATAGAAATGGATGTTTACAATATCAGATTTCGTTTGTTTGGTGTTTCATGTGCCCAACTGACAAACATTGGTGATATTTTTTGCATCATTATTGCAATAGGCAATGCTGTGCTCTAATGTGAATAACATTTGGTGTCTGAGAACTGAGCATCTACCTGGATGAAGATAAACCATTATTTAATTATATTAAGAAGCCCCATGTAAATGGGGATAATTTGAGATTTTCTCCAAATTTCACCCTCAGTGCTGTCACACGTTTTGAAAACCATGAAAACATGTGGTGCTTAGACATCACAGAGATGTCACATCATGTATGTCTCCTTTATAACTCTGGGAAATACCTTTGACTCATTGATCAGTTTTGTCAAGGGTCAAGGTCATCCGCAAGTTTATCGCCTCAAAATTAATTAAGAGGGATTTAATTTAGTCAATGAAACTTGGTACATGTCATCCTTGGGCAGTGTGGAGTAAGACTCTTGTGAATGTTCCAGGAATACACTCAAACATTGTTGTGTCGAATTTTGATGTGTCAGACTTTTGGTTGTGTCGAAATAGAAGCTTGATCCCTTTATTCTTTCTTTATTCATCATTATTTAACCTCTTATATGTCGAATCGGATGTGTTGAGATCTCGAAGTCATTTTCCAGTAAAAGATATGTACTTCCAGCTAAAATTTACTCTAATAGGTCGACCTTGCCTTGACTCATTCGTCATTACGGTTCAATAAACAAGGCTTTACAAGACAGAAATCTCCACCGCACTGAGTTTCAGTGAGAAACACTCACACCTAACTTCAAAGAAACGTTTAATTGATGTGTCGATGGGGAATAACAAGTCATTTGGTCAACACCATGGGTAGAGGTGGAAGGAGTCATGTGATTGTCACATGTTAATCTTGTGATTACAAATTGTGTAATGTGTTACGGATTAGGACTTGAATGATAGTCTTTTTGTGTCATTAGTGTTATAAGATAATGGATAGATACCGAGCTGAATCAGGAAGGTTAGCAACATGACTGAGCAATCTAGTAAAGGGCCTGTTTTACCAGGAGGGCAAGTGGATTGGATGTTCCTACACCTTCAAAATGTAAATTAACAGTAAAATCGATTGATAATGTTTGGACATTTATTTCATTTTCTCGTTGTTTTGTTGGTTTCGTGTTTTTCATTCTTCATGCCAATCGGTAAATGTATGCCAAGTTCAATTTTTGTTGTGTGGAACCTCGGATAACTCAAAGTATTTACATAGGTCCCTCCCACTTCGACACAACAGTGCGCGAAATTGAATTTGGAAGCGAACGCGCAACGTGAGGTTCAAATGTTAAATTTAGCGTGATTAAATCTACAGGTAACCTAGCTCTACATTGAAAACACAGTATGTTTATCTCCATTCTACCATGACTAAATAAAACGCGAACTTTTTGGTGCAAGCAATATACTGAGTGAAGCGGCATGGGTTGAGTCCAGTGTTTTGAGTGGGTTATCGATCTGAATTACGGAATCACTGAGCAAAATATGGCGCTATATATATATATACTCAAGCAGTTTGTTTACACCGTAATACGTCACTCGAACATATGACAGGCATTGAAAGCATATAAGCATGGCAACTAGGTAAGCTAACATGAGGTGGGCATCCCTAAAGAAAACAAAGCAAGCTTTGCAAGGCTTTCGCTCTACATCGCACGCCAGCATTATGATGTCATGTCGCTCATTGTGATGCAAAAGATATGACGTCACAGTCGTATATAGAAAAGCGCCAAAATTCCAAGCTCTCTGTTGTCTCCAAAACGTAAATACATTCCCTTTGTAGATTTCTATCGCGTTTTCTGCATGAAATGTATTGCCACACATCCTTTGAATATTGTAGTAACCGCATCTGTGCAATTTGTAACCTGTAATTTTAGATATAATTATTTAAATATGCCTACCGACAATGACTGAAAAAAGTACTATCTATGAATATTAGCTTCCGCGGTGATGCAGCCGTCAAAACAGCTGTTTGAATCAGAGGGGGTTTATTGTGATTTAATAGCCTCTGATTGACCAATCAGAATCGAGTAAATTCCAAATTCATTGTAGAATTTCTTATTAATGTAGCTCGATTGAGGCATGCAGTTTTTTGTTTTAAAGCTGTACTTCATTTGACATGTGTTTTCCCAAACCGGAGGTCAAGTCATGAGACCGGAAGTCCATGTGACTTTCATATTCAAGTAGTTGCTGTTTTAGTGTCACACTGCATGTGACATGTTGGGTTTTTTCATGTGTGTTACATTACATGTGATCATTCCATTGGAAGTAGTTATAATGTTCTTATCAAGGTAGCTGGAGGAACAGGACTTTCTGGTTTAAAATTGAACATATCTGGACATGTTGGTGTTATTAGACTTGAAGTGATGCCATTGAAGCAGAAATGCCTTTAGGTTCCTCATTGTGTTGGCAGCAGTAAGCTAGCACCAAGGCAGAAGTAGGCATGTAATTCACCAAACCAAAGCTAATTATCATACCTCCATATCAGAATGATGAGATCTGATTGGTCCACATGGTCTTGATAAAATACTGTGCAAACCACGTTGGAGGGTAATAAATTTCTCAGCAGGGGAATAAATCTCTTCTTCCCCGCCACAAGCACTACAGGCTGCACATGCATTTCTGAGAGAGAGAATAAATCCTTTATGCCCCGCTGCATGCTTTTTCTGAGCCAATGGATGTCACGTGACATAGCACAAGCTAACCTCAGCTCAATCGAGCAGCTGTTTTCTGTCAATTTGGAATTTATTTGAATTATTTTACAATGTCATATTAAAACATGTCTTTGAGATAAATTCCTTGAAGCAGGATCACTCAGGGTACATGGTGTTTTATGCATCCCTAGTTAGGTTTTACAAAGGGCTGGGATGAGTCCAAATATACTATCTGGGTACCCACCACCCTATTACCCGACCCTAGCCGCTGGAGATAGGTAGAAACTTTCCGATTTGGAAAAGTTTGACCTCAGCCCTGGCAAAATGTATTTAGATACACGTGTAACAACGATCTGGTCATGCATACACTGAAGTTTACTGCATGAAGCTTTATCTTTATTTGAACATTTAAAAGTCAGAAAGAATGGGTGCATTGTCAGAAAGAAATTGGAACATTAGTGACTTATAGTGTAACCATTGAGTGTTTGATAATTTTTGTCATTAAACAATATATCACGTGACTAACCATGGGTCCGGGTAGTCCTGAGGGTACCCGGGTCCTACTCAGGACCCACCCAACTCGAGTACCCGAGTTACCAGTCCCAGTCTTAGTTTTATATCACTCGCCTCAGGCTCGTGGTATAAAACCTAACACGGGACGTGGTATAAAACCTAACATGGGAAGCATAAATCCCTATGTACCCCGAGTGACCCTGCTACAACTTATATGGTAACACACTTGAAATGGCTGGTGGTCATGCAGTGTTCCAAATACACATCGGCCCTTAGGCTGAAAGATTTGTTCTCGGGCTGAGTTTTAAATTTCAGCAGGCCCATTTGGCCTTCAGTTTATTTAAGTAATTATTTATTAAGCATTATTTAAGTAATGTGATAAACATAACTTTGATATTTATATACTGTAGGATTAGACCTTTCCAATGGTGTATGACATGTAAACACAAAGATGTTTTACAAGCTCCTAATTTCCTTATAAATGTAGGCTTCATCTATCACCACCGAGTCTCTGAAAATCTTGCCTTCCGAAATCTTGCCACCAGACATCCTAAACAAAAATATTATCTGTAAAACAAGGAAATTTGTAGTGTCTCCTTAACTATATCTGTAACTTGCTGATTCACGGAACGGTTTGACTTCATTATTGAAGTATGGTTGTGTGTTTGTTGTTTAACACTGCTCTCAACAAAATTGCAGCTATAGGACAGTGGCTTGAAAAAAATCAATTGATTGATATTATGGACAACAATCCATACTATCCCGGAACATTATCATTTCATCAAACAACTGCATGCATGACCACCCAATCCATTTAACCTCCCTCCTCTTACGACCAGCGTGACCCGTGAATATTCCGGGGTAGAATAGGTCTTCAGCAACCCAAAAGGTGACTATGCTTGTCGTAAAAGGCGACTAACGGGATCGGGTGGTCAGGCTCACTGACTTGGTTAATGCATGTCATCGATCCCGATTGCGCGGGTCGATGCTCATGATATTAATCACTGGATTGTCTGGTCCAGACTCGATTATTTACAGACCGCCGTCATATAGCTGGAATATTGCTGAGTGCGGCGTTAAACAACAAACCAACCATCCAACTTACGACCAGCGTAGGTTGCTAAGGACCAAGTCTAACCCGAAATCTCAGGTTTTAAATTTAGTCGGCTCTTACGACTAGCAGTAGGGTGTTGGGGACACTTACTAACCCAGGTGTTCATGGTTGAAAATGTTTTCATAATATATCATAATGATAATAATATCACCATAAACTGTTTACCATGACATATATCACTTGAGTCTGAGATAATCCAACCACCCATATGCTTCTTAAAACCACTGTATAGAATCCCATGTCTATGAGTATCTGCCAACAGTCAGGGGTGCAAGATTAATCAGATTATCTATAAGCCCTAATAATGTGTCACTCAGCAAATGGGATTACATTGTAATACACAGCGTAACCTGAACAGATTAACTTGGCAGCATTCAAGAGAAGCATGTCACCTTCCACATTGACTGAAGGACAAATGAGGTTTTGGATCCTTGACAACTTTGTTCCGGAGCTCTGTCTAAATGTACATGTTGTGCAGTGTGCATGTTGCTTGGTTCAGAGGAGGTGGATCTGTGTGACATACCCTCATGGTGAATCCCAGTTGTTAAGTTCAGGGTGAGTAGTGTAATCCTAGTGGATGTTCATGATGGGATAATCCGATAAATCATATGGCGCCAGGTACATGTTGTTTCAGTGTTGGGTTTAAACAGTATATTTTAACAAGTTCATCTTGTATTTTACATAAAATGCTATAAAAGCTATAAAATTAGAAACTTTTCTGAGAATGGTCTTTTAATACTTTTAACTTTATTGGTTAGCCCTATGTTTATCATATAAAATAATTTTTGTTTATGGTCATCAATTTCAGTTATGTCAGGCCAGGTGTTGAAAAAGAATAAATAAACTTCAAGATTTCCAAGAGGACAGAATTTAGTTGATTTGATAAATGATCTAATGAGTTCTTCCCTATTTATTACGATATCCGAAAGTAAAAGCATAATATATTTTTTGTTCTAGGAGCTGTTCTGACTATTTCTGAATAATTTAGAATTAACACCTTAAACCTCTTTTGTTAGTCCTTTTTTAAAGGTTACTCATTTGAACGTACAGCTCTGAGTACATATAAATAAATTCATGTTTTTCAAAGTCCCAGGTTCAATTCAGTACAGTGAGTGTCCAAAATAAATACATGAATAGGCACTTGGATCTTATCAACACAGATCAAATTTTATCTAGCTCCAAATACACATTTTATCAAACCCTGAAGCATTGTTGTGGGTATGTACTGTGTATTGCATTCAGTACTGAACAATCCCCAATGGCCTTCTGTCAAGCATGTCATTGTTTCCTGAAGTATCTGAATAAAGTCTCCTGAGCATGAAATGTTCGTCTGGTGTCCGCCATTGTGTGATGTCCCATCTATCTCTGACTCAAGGACCTCCAACATGGGTGTCAGTTACATTTTGTGTATGAGGAGGTTGAACAATACTCACATTTGTTACAATCAGATTGTTCCAGTAAACAGATCGATACATATAGATTTGGGTATCGTTATCATCGAGAATCTGTGCTTGAACATGGTGAGGGGTTGAACTGTATCTTGTGAGTTACTTAATATTGCTTTCTCTTGTGTGGCACTGTTACTGTTTTGTCATCTTACAGGTGAGGTTTGGTTCACAGTATTAAGTCCATACTTAGTGTTCTGCTGTTAGAATGTAGTTGTGTAGCCTCCTACCTATGTGGCACTGTTGGATGGCACAGTGGTAGTGTTGTCATCTTACAGGTGATGGTTTGGTTCACAGTATTCAGTCCATACTCAGTGTTTTTGACACAAAAAGCTGTCAATAGGTCACTGACTTGGACCCAAGAAATGTAATAAGTCAATGGCAAAAGTCAATAAGTCAAAACACAAACAATTTTTGGACAGCGTTTAATCAGTAACACTATGAGGAAACTTCAAAGTGGGCAATATTCATAACATCTATGTCACATATATACTGAGGCAGTCCATCCTGCCTTCAAATGCCAATTGCTTTTGACTTTTCAACCTGGGTGTTAGACTAGTGTCGATATCTTGCTCCAGATCATTAGCTTAGGAGACTCTGCACCGCAGCCTAGTGATTGGCCAACCAAAAAGCCTTCATTTCAAATTGAACAAAAGTCTTTTCTTTTTTCCCCAGCAGTCGAGTGCCCCAGAAAAATTTACGTCTTCCAGTTTTTTGCCTTCAACTTTAACCCTAATGATAGCGTCCTGTGTGGCAGGCAACAGCCTGTTTCTCAGTGGGACAAGAATTGTGTTTTGTGCACTAAAACCTCGTTCACATCCTGCTGTGTGAACAGGGAGTGTGAGTGCTAGCTGGGCTAGTTTAATCATATTAGGGAATTCCTCTCTGTGATACTTATTGACCAATGTCCACAGATTAGCAAATGTATCTCTTGGATACATTTCAGCTAGAACTTTCAACTTCAAGTCAGACCACTCAGATCTGGCATCATCAGGATTGATGATTGGAGGACTTGAAGATGTGTGCTGCTGCTTGTCATCTCCTGTCCAAGTGTGTGTCTTCTCCACACCATACTGCTGGATCAGTATTTCCATTTGCTCATTTCCCCAGTCAGCCAACTCATCCTTGGAAAGAAAGCTGACTGGTCTTAATCCCAACACACCAATTGCAGCTAACAGATCTTGTTCAGGAAATCTGTAGAGAAAATATGAAAATACAAAATTGTGTCAAAATAACCTCATGCTTAAATACAAAAACTAAAGTACACTTGTCTTCTGTAACTTGAGTGAGTTGGGTTTAACACCACTTTTAACATTATTCCAGGTGATATCACAGGATATTCATGCCTCCAACATGCGTGATGGCATCGACAGATCCTTACCTTTGTGAAATGTTATCAATCAGTTTGTCCAAGAACTTGACTTTGGCAGAAGAAATCTCTTTTTCAGAACAGCCTTTGATTGTGTGACCCTTGAAACCCTTCAGATCATCATCTAGATCATCCTTCAGTTTCTGCTGATGAAGACCATTGTCAGATTTCAACTCTCTCAACTTGTCAAGTGTATTGGTTAGGTTAACCTGGAATTAAAATACATTGGATCCAGTCAGTAAAAATATGAAATGATACACAATTTTGTCAAATTAATTGTGTAATAACAACTTGAACTAAACTTGTACTCAATCGTAACTGCAGTTGACACTTAATTCACAATCAATAATACCTTCACAAGAGAGACATCCACATTCTCCTTCTGAAAGAACAGGTTCAACTTGGCAACAACTGGAATGATGTCCATCATCATGTAAGTCAGGGCAATGAACTTTGCGCAAGCTACCTGAAGAAAGAGAATTTGAACAGTTGTGACCACTGATTTCATACAATCAGTTCTGAAAATACATGTTCATCAACAGGAAGACCTAAAATTAAGCTTGAGGAATGTTTTTTTTTACCAAAATTAATTCAACCCACCCAACTCAGCATATTCAGTGTTTCACAACCCCATTATTATCACTTGATCGATTAATTTATGATTAACATTTACTTTGTTGTAATTAAATTATGTAATTTATGAATGAAAAAATCTTAAAAGTACCTGTTTTATACAAAAATTCTGCATGCCTTTCAAACAACTGAAATAAACAAAAGGAACAATAAATCAACTGAAAAAAAACAAACTGTTAATATGTTATTGTACAGGTTAGCTGATTAACATTTGGAATTCAGAATATGACTGTCAGACACAGCAGTTAAAATAATAACACGATTAACATACCAAAGAATAACCAAAGAAATTAATAGGAATGTTGTTGAACTAAAAGATATCAATACTGTAATGTTAGTAAAATAAATTTAAAATCCGAAACAAAATTCACCTTTGTCTTCAAATGTGCTGCCTTTGGATCTTTGGATGTATCAACTTCAGCCAGATAAACTAGAAGGGCATCTAGGGTCCTGTACACGCTCTCAAGTGCACTGTAAAAAGACAGCCATCTGACACTGTGAACTTCTTTATACTTAAGCTGTGGTAAGTCTAGTATGGCATTTACTTCTGCCATCCGGGCAACTTTCTTTGGTGAATATTTAAAATAATAGTATATTGCTGTGATTGCTTGTTGGAAAGCATCCATGGCTGGAACACCCTGTGCAGCTTGGCTTGTACATAGTGCAAGTCTATGTGCGATGCAGTGCACGTTGACCATTCCAGGATTTTCTCTCTTCATCGGACCTGCCACACCCTTGCCCTGACCAGTCATGACCGATGCTCCATCAGAGCCGAGTCCCATCACCTTTGACATAGAAATTCCCCTTCTGGAGAGTTCTTTTCCAATTTCCTGTGAAAGAGCCGCTCCAGTACATTCTGTAATGTTAACATTGGTTAGGTAATTGGTGCTAGGTTGCATATTCACTGGATCCACAAGCTGAGTGTAAATAACCAGTCTCTTGTTCACACAGATATCAGTGCTTTCATCCGCTAAGATTGAAATATATGGGGATTTCTTCACTTTTGCACTTATTTCCTCGTCAATAGACGCCGACAGTGCTTCAATAAATTCACTTGCTGCATACGAGGAGTCATAAGTCACAGTGTCCGAAACCTGTAGAGCAGAAATATCCGGCACATTCAATTCCCTCAATAGGGACATAAGAGAATTGTATTTCAAAAGGGCAATGCCTTCCTTGCATATCCAGTAGGCAACCTTGATGCCAATTAAGGCACCTTTCTCCTGAGACGAATGTTGACGATTTTGCAGTTCTCGCAAATTGCTTCTCAGATCTGGGGCAAGGATCGCCGTTTGGTGGTCGTTCGTTTTGAGATGATCCTCGATGTTCGAAAGTCGATAGTTGTGACAGCCTTGCGTAAATGTATTGCTTCGTTTTGCGTCCACGCACAAGTGACAAGTCATTTTGCCGGTTTCCGAATCGTATCTCAACCATGAGTGTAGGTTCAGCCATCGTTGCTGAAATTTTCTTTTGACGACTTTAGCGCTCTCTGCACCTACATCAACATCTGTCGATGACATAAAAGTCTTCAGTGTGCCCTGGTTTTTTATTTGCGTTTTTTTCTTTGGTGGCATCATGAACGATTGCATAAGCCATGTGCTCAATAAAAAAAATGGCGAATCAATGCAATGTCCTTCCTGATTGGATGAAATATACGATCTGGCCAATGAACGTCGCGATAAGAAAGGCGCTTGACGAAGCTACTACAGCTCCTGACAGCGTTTACATATGATACAGAAAGTACGATGCTAAGACAAGCGCTGCTCAGAATGTCAATCATTACGACTTTTGATGGCATTGTTTTCGATACTGTAGCTTGGACTATTCCTCACTATTTACTTTTTAACACCAGTCAAACCAGAAGCGTTTACAGATACTCTTGTGTGATAGCTGAAGCCAACGTTTATTAAAGAAAATATCAGCTTGTGAACAAGCTGCTAGCTACATGTTATATAGATCTAGATCTACACCTTCTAAGTCTAATCCTATTGTTTATAAATATGAAAGTTATGTGTATCACATTATTTAAATATTCCATTTACAACTTAATTAAGTTCGCTGAAAAAATAAAAAATGTCAGCAGAGACCATATAATAGATATTATATGGTCTCTGATGTCCGTAACACATTCATAACCATGGAAGTGAAAATTTGAGATTTCATAAAATCCACTTAGAGAAATCTACCTATTTCTTTGTTATTTTCATGGTTTACGCAATTGGAAATTTATTTTTAAAAGGTATTTGTCATCACCCATTTTCCGATAACAGCGGCTGTCCGCTCAGTAACATGAAAATACCTCGAAGCTTCGTAAGAAGCCCTGAATCTATTGGATATAAATTAGTTTCTAATGACGCTTTCTTGCCGAAATCTGCTACAAGATTCGTGATTTGTCAAATTTGAGCATGTGACCTAAGGCAGCCAATCAAATTACAGTTAAGATACCGTCCTCGTGTTTGATGAATATTAGATTTTGACGAAACATTTTTGTTAAATGGTGTTATTCCTTTTTTAAAGCAGGAATTCGCGATCTATTTTAAAATATGGAACTTCATGGATGTATCGTGCTGGGGTTACGAGATGTGATAAAGATTTTCATGCATATAATCTTGGCATTAAAACATCGTGTGCGAGCCGAGAAATCGAGGCGACGAAAGCCGAGATGTCATTTGATTTACATTACACGCGATCGCACGAAAAGATGGAAATAATAACTTAGCAGTAAGTTTGACAACGTTTAGATATATTTTGGTTGATTGTAATTATTACTTTATGTAATATATTTAAAGATTTGCTTGAAACGTCTTTATTTTGCTCTTTGACATGTTCGATGTGGACCCGTTGTCGAAGTGTGTCCGATAGGCCTAATTATATTTTCAATAGCATTGCAGGAAATTGTGAATCTATCGATAAACAAAATGATTAATTTAAACGGAATACGTATTTTAGACATTGTGAAATGTGATAGATTTAATAAATGAATGATATGACATGTTGGCTAATAAAATGATATACTATTTTGACGTGACTACGGCTTGGCCAGTTGAAAGATGTAATGATGAAACGCATGACGCCTTGCTTAGCATTTCTATCGGTCAAAAGTCCGACTATTTAATAAAACTATCGGTCAAAATGAAATTTTATCGGTCTATGACCGGTGACCGGCGGCCATCTGAAACACTGCATACTTAGTGTTCTGCTGTTACAATGTAGTTATGTAGCCTCCTACCTGTGTGGCACTGTTGGATGGCACAGTGGTAGTGTTGTCATCTTACAGGTGATGGTTTGGTTCACAGTATTCAGTCCATACTTAGTGTTCTGCTGTTACAATGTAGTTATGTAGCCTTCTACCTGTGTGGCACTGTTGGATGGCACAGTGGTAGTGTTGTCATCTTGTAGATGATGGTTTGGTTCACAGTATTCAGTCCATACTTAGTGTTCTGCTGTTACAATGTAGTTATGTAGCCTTCTACCTGTGTGGCACTGTTGGATGGCACAGTGGTAGTGTGGTCATCTTGTAGATGATGGTTTGGTTCACAGTATTAAGCCCATACTTAGTGTTCTGCTGTTAGAATGTAGTTATGTAGCCTTCTACCTGTGTGGCACTGTTGGATGGCACAGTGGTAGTGTTGTCATCTTACAGGTGATGGTTTGGTGCCAAGTATTAAGTCCATACTTAGTGTTCTGCTGTTACAATGTAGTTGTGTAGCCTTCTACCTGTGTGGCACTGTTGGATGGCACAGTGGTAGTGTTGTCATCTTGTAGATGATGGTTTGGTTCCAAATATGTTTTAAGGTTTGAAGCCCATTCTTGGTGTTCCACTCTTTCGATCATTTAGCTGTTTGGCATGCTACTTGTGTGGTTCTGTCTGGTGTCACACTGGTAATAGCATCTTTGCTTCCTCCAGAATGAAAGGGCAGTGGGATAGCCTTGTGGTTGTGCTGAAGATCTATGGTTCAATTGAGTGAAGCCTCGGAGTTTTCCCACTTTTATCAACTCGTGTTGATATATTTGATATCAAAAGACATTCGGGTGAGATTCTCTGTTTATCACTGAAAGCTGGCAATTATTTTTTTTAACGCTCTAACACTGTCTTAGTTTTAAACCAATCTCAAAATCAAATTCTGACCTAAAAGTTATAACATTTTGTTCAGTGGGCAATTGTCATGCCTTGTCCTTTGAAGGAGATAGATCTGAACACATTATGAAGACTGTATAGGTTGGTTGGTTTGTTGTTTAACGCCGCACTCAGCAATATTCTAGCTATATGACGGCGGTCTGTAAAATAATCGAGTCTGGACCAGACAATCCAGTGATTAATATCATGAGCATCGATCCACGCAATTGGGATCGATGACATGCATCAACCAAGTCAGCGAGCCTGACCACCCGATCTCGCTAGTTGCCTTTTACGACAAGCATAGTCACCTTTTAAGGCAAGCATGGGTTGCTGAAGACCTCTTCTACCCCGGAATCTTCACGGGTCGAAGACGGTATAGGGAAATCATTTGAAAAGTGATGCACGTGTCTATTTGCAACAAAATAATGATTTTGCCTAACTATGAGAAAAAACAGAACCTTTTCTATATATATCATAAAGATCTGTCACAGTATATTTGAGATATTCCAAGTTTTTCATGGAACCCTGGAGTATCTTGGTTAGGCTTGATAGAGACACAGACTTTATCATATGTGGGGCAATGAAACTCAATAATCATGAGCATCTGAGAAGAGCATCAGAAGCAGTATGTCATGGCTATTTTACCTCACACGCTGATGTCTTGTGTGTTCAGGTCGTCTACTGGGCCACCATGGCAGTATCAGACTGAGTGAGGGAGAGCTGGTTGAGGCAGAGGACCTGCTGAAGGAATCGCTTGAGAGTATCGAGAACTGTCCAGGTCATGTCACCCTCAGGGCAACCATCCTCTACCATCTAGGCATTCTAAGGTAAAAAATCTTCTCTGAGGCCTTTTTTAAAAATAGATTACATTACTGATTATTTTCCCAAAATATTCTTTAATGCTGTAGCCTCCTATATTTTTTGTCCTTGCAGTATGTTCACAGTATTTAGAATAATTTAAAAGTAAAATAACTACTGCTTGGTGTTGCCTTCTATTGAAGTAAACTGCCGGGCAAAAGAAAGTATCCCCGTGTTGTGGGTTTTTGAATGCTTAAGAATTTTTTTTAGTTTTCTCGCTAATCACAAGAAAAACTGTAAACATCTCACTCACTTATAAAAGACCACTTTATCTCAAAAACAAGCAATCATCTGGGTATTAACAATGTCTGTGGTACGCCACACCCCTTATCATAGCGCGAATAATCGCAATAAACATGGCCGTCTGAAAACGTATGATGTCCGAAAACCTAAGATCAAACGATATGCACTTATATCTGATGGTGGCTAAAAATGAAACAAACAAGAAATGGTTATTTTCGATGGCAATGTAATGAGAAGAGTGAAGCGGATGTTGTCATGATCAGTGTGAGTTGGTTCACAGATACCAAACATTCAGCCTGGTAACATTTTGATAACGTTTGTCATTTTTTGGTCAAATACAATTTTCAAGTCTATTCTTTCCTTTTCAGTTTAGTTGAACATTCTCAAGGAATCATGTTTGATGTTTTTGCACTTGAAGTCAACAGTTATACATGGGTTAGGACTGTCATGATATGTCTGGTTGTTATTAGATAGAGAATCTCACCCAAGTGTCTTTTGATATCAAATATATCAACAAGAGTTGATAAAAGTTGGAAAACTCCGAGGCTTGCCGAGGATTTTTTCCAATTTTATTAACTCGTGTTGATATATTTGATATCAAAAGACACTCGGGTGAGATTTTATTTAGCATCCAACATCATTCTTCCAACTTTTTCAGTTTGTAGACAGTAATAAGCAGTGTCTCAAGTGTAAAAAAGTACTGCTAACAGCTTCAGTAGCAGAACCATTAGTGATGTCATTTGATTGTGACATCATGGTAACCAATGACGTCACAATGGTCTGCCAAGTATTGTGATGCAATTTCATTGCAGCGATATCTACAGTGTAGATATCGCTTGATCTCGCCCAAGCGATATCTCCTGTGGGAGCCAGTTTGGGATGATAAATACTTATCTCAAGAGTAAGGTTGTGATACAATACATGATGCAATACATTGACAGTTGATACTTGTGAAGTTCAGGAGACAGACCTTTAGCAGAAGCTAAACTTGAAAATAATTGGGAAATTTGAGTCAGTGATTTTGAGAACTCTTGCACATAAAGTCTGAAAATATTTTGTTGTTCATTATATACCATGTTACATGTTTACCATGCTCATATATACTATCATTATGCATCAATACATGAAACAAAACTACCCTTCTGTGAGTTATGACACCTCTTTATATCAGCTGTCAAGATGTCAAGACTGAAATAAACCCATTAGGTCCATCAATCACTCACTATCTGCAAGCCATAACAGATCTGTGTGCAGATAATTTGATCTGGAAAAATTCCATAGGTCAACTCTTTGGGTTAGAGGGAAGCAGGGGAGGGTCACTAGAAAATATCACAGTCTCTAGAGCAGGGTCATAAAATATTTTTAACATATTTGGGGGTCTTAAAAAAAGGGACATGTTATAACAATATGGAGTGCTTTTGCATTTTGTCTTTTCGGGGAGGGTCATGAAAAAAATGTACAAGGACATAGGGAGAGTCATCCAAACTACGACAAGCATTAGGGGAGGGTCATTATTGTTTCATCAAAAACCTCTGCCCAACCTCAGCCCCCCTGTAATAAATGACTGGTCCCTTACAGTAAGATATCACCTGTTTTGCAAGTATAAAAAAGTGTGTTGACAGTATCCTACCCTGAAATTAATAAGTAAATTAATATCTCCTGGAGTGTTTGGTATGAGATAAGACAAACTTACCTACCTCCTGTAGAGATCGGTATTGTTTGATGTATCAGATGTCAGTTTATCAATAAATCCATTTACATTACACCATAACCACAGCTTACAGTTGGTGAATGTTTTGAGATTTAATCAATATCCATGTATGTACTGTGATATTCCTTACTTGGTAGGCACAAACAACAGGACTGTCTTCGTGCCGAGTCGTGTCTACGACAGTGTCTTATCCTACGAGAACAGTGGTTTGGAAAACGTCATCCCTTGGTTGCTGATGTTCTGGTAGCACTTGCCAGACTTCTGTCTTCCACTACTAATAACAAAGGGTATGTCTTATGCAAATGGGACTCTTCTGTGAGTGTAGCCATTTAAGAAAATGAACATTGCATATTTTGTTGCAGTGCCAAACACCTTGTTACGTATACTGCATTTGCTGTAATAAGTGCTCTGGGCTCATAGAAAATTGACATTTGGTGGAGCTTATTAAAACCATACACAATTACCGTATTTGACGTAATAAGCGCCCCGCTCTAATAAGCGCCCACGGCGATATTTGCTGATATATTGGCTAGTGAACAACCCCAATTAGCAACCCTTCCGATTGATCAATGTACACGAGACTTATATATTCGTGTATAATACTCACTCATGTGTTATATGCACCCTTAATTATGGGCAATTAAATTCTGGAAAAATATATCTGTCATATATAAACAGTTCAGACCGTCAGCATTAACCACGAAATTTATCTTTCAACTCTGTTTTTTTCACCAAAATAATATTCTAATAAGAGCCCCCTATTTCTAATTTTGAGAGCGCCCTGGGCGCTTATTATGTCGAATACGGTAGTTAAATTTGTATATTTGGAGATCGAGCAGTAGTGAACAAACTTATTGCCAATGTCAATGGAACTAAACCTTCTTCAATAATAGCTACACGGCTATTATTTTCCCCTTCTACGCTGCTGTACTTCTTTATCTAGATGTTGGTCAGGGCACGATTTATGGAGCAAGGCGCTTAATTCAGCAAATATGGTATATGAAATAGGAAATTTATGAACATGGACGACTTATATATTCTGTGAATATTAAACAATGATATGGTTGTTACAGTTGATTCTGAGCCAGGAACTCCCTAGCCGTTCTGAACTATAGGTCATGATGGAAAATTATAATTATATTATAAGTCAGAGAAATCACTCCAATCTGTGGATTCCGGATGTACATACATACTTGAGTTAATGAATATTTTTGAGAACGGCACGTCAGTGACTTCATTATTACGATGGTGAAACCTGGAATGATATGTAAGTACATTTTGAAGATGTTCCTGTGTTTACCTGAGCAGGTGTGACAAGGCGCAGGCAGAGCACCTGTACAGTCGGGCTATAGAAGTGCGGGAACAGTGCCTCACTCCCAACCATCTCCTCACGGCAGAGATACTCTATGAACTGGGTTTGTGTGTTTGCTTGTTTGTTGAATGCTGCAATACAGTAATATTCTAGATATATGACTGCAGCATGTGAATAATTGAGGCTGCACGAGAAAAAACAGTTGAGATACAATAACTTGCAATCAACCAAGTCACCAGGCTTGACCACACGCTCCTTGACGTAGCTTCTCATGACAAGCATTGGTTGTAGGGGACAAATTCAAACACAGAATTCACATGTTTATGTTTGCTTGTTTGTTTGTTTGTTTGTTTGTTTGTATTTAATGCCGAACTTGACAATTTTCTAGCTTTATAATGGCGGTCTATTAGTAATAGAGTCTGGACAAGACAATCTAGAGGTTGATATCATGAGCATCGATTTCATGCAATTGGGATACAATGACATGCATAAACCAAGTCAGCGAGTCTGACCACCCAATCCTGTTAGTCGCCTCTTACGACAAGCATAGTTGCCCTTGAGGTCAAGCATGGGTTGATTAAGACCTATTCTAACCCGGATCTTCACGGGTAACACAAGTTTATGAACTGGGCATGTGAAAACAAAGTTTTGCAACCTTGGCACCTCATGTGTTCATATTGGTTGACATATTCCTATAAACTTGGGATGTGAATTTATACATTATTACCAAATTCAACATATTAGGTACCTGCCCATGTGAACTTCTGAAGTTATTCATTATGATGTAAACTAACTTTTAACTACAGACAGAAGGAAAACTCAATGGTATCTTGATTGGAACATTTGAATGTTGTTTCACAATATGAGGGATATTAGGTTTTGGAACAAGGCACTTTAAATTCTGAAAACAATCCTGTTTTTCTTACAAGATGAGGGGTCAGAAATAAACATTAAACTTTAAAGGTTTAATTCATCATGTTCACATGGAAACACTTCACACATTGTTCTGATGTTTAGAATGGTTTTTTTCAATGAAATTTATTTGATAGGAAGTATATTTTCTGAGGATGTTTGACAGATGGTGTGATAAAAGCCGAGTTTTAAACATTTGTGGATCTGTAAACAATAGATTACTAAAAAAAAATTTTGTTTGTTTTTTGTATGAATTATTTGGCATGACGCTCATGTCGACATATTAATAACTACAGTCATATGATGGAATCAAGGGGTTGTTATCTTCTTTGAGTAGGGTAGCATACCGGGAAGCATGTGAATTTGTGCACAAAATATTTGCACTTTCAGTCAAATCCAATTTTAGGCATAATTTCATTGAGATTTGCATCTTTAATGTGATAGGTAGAGGACAAGTGAAGTTGTTGCCAGAAAAGATTTGGTCCACAGTGCAACAAGCTTGTCAAATAACAAATAAGACAACAACAAAAATAGGATGGTTCACATGTGTGACTGACAGTACTTCAACATCCACATAATGTACTGTCACAAGAAATCTGTCCAATTTTCCACATTTCACATTTTGCATGAAAATATGTGTCAATCTTGTTGAGAATATATATGTGCTAAGGGTATTATTAGCATTAAACAACATTCTTATGAGAAAAAACACTTTGTAATGAGTAGTAAGTGCTTCTACAGTATGTCATTCATGTTTCAAATTAGGAATATTCTTGCCTTTTTTCAGGTTGTTTGATTGGGGAGCAGCCAAGTTATTCAGCGAAAATGGAATCCATAAAGCTACTGAGACGGGCTCTGGATATCCGCACAACAAGATTAGGTAAGCTGGATCAGTCGGGGCCTGTATCAAGTGGACGAGGGGGAACAGTTGTCCTAGCCATCTATGGCACCCCAATTTTCAATGCAGAGTTTTGTGAAACCTTTGATCATGGGTTCAAATGCCAGTTTGCCCTGGAATCTCAGTTTCGAGGTTTGTCAGCACCATCCCATGTGGATGTGCCGAGTGGGTTTCACCAAAGTGGTAAACGTCTGAGACCTGCTTAACTTGGGGATTTCCTCCCACATTAAGCTGACAGGCCGTGATATAACTGGAATGATGTTCAAAGCGGTGTTGAACACAACTCAATCAGTCCCTCTTCCAGACTGTGTGAGGATCTATGAAGTACTTCCTGATTTCAAACTTAAGATGTGAGCCTCAGTTAGCATTTGTTTCAAAGGGGCATGAGGGAGGGTCACAGGAAAAACATGACATGTTCAGGGAATGAAGGATGAAAAATCTCCATCTCACCTCCCACTGATTGCCTAGGCTATCTTGCTACCAAACAGGGCCAGTAGCCTAGTGGTTAAAGTGTTCACTCGTCATGCCGAAGACCCTGGTTCAATTCCCCAAATGGGTAGCACTTGTGAAGCCCATTTCTGGTGTCCACCGCCATGATATTGCTGGAATATTTCTAAAAGTGGGATAAAACCATAGTCACTCATTCACTACCAAACACAATCACGTCGCGTCCAAGATTATTGCACTGCTGCACTGTGGCTACTTGTACTAGTCCGGACTGATGCCGATTTATAGTGCTAGCTCACTGAGATACCATGCCGCAGTTTAACATGAATACCCCACATAGACACTGTATACTGACTCCGAGCTGACCAGTCCTTGTTTTAGCCCTATAATGCTGAGCGCCAGACAGGGTAACAAGTACCATCTTTTAACGTCTTTTGGTATGACGCGGTCGGGGATCAAACCCCGGACCTTCCGCTCTCTGGGTGGACGCTCTACTACTAGACCACAGAGGCGGTCACTATCACCAGGAACCACTTCCCAGAAGAGATCTTAGTTCTACAACTTTTGTATGTGTTAAAGGATAGAAGTCTTTGTGTAAAGATGGTTCCGTAGACCCAGGACTGTAATCTGATTAGTATGGCCTATACAATGGGTATGAGTGCTGTATAAATTTATTTCTTTTTATTATTAAGTGAGATTATTTTCTTTATTTAATTATTCTCTCAGGGTTGCAGTGTTTTGATGCTTGTAAGATTATTGGTCCTACTTCCAGGGGGAGACCACCCAGACACGAAGGCAGCCCAGCAGTACCTCACAAACCAGGAGGTGATGCTGAGACTGGGTCACTTTGAGTTTGGGCCTGCCAAACCTACCGACACCCGGACACCGTCCAATCCCTATAGTAGTCTTTCCTTCAGAGATAAAGATCTTTCAGCTGTCCAGAAAAGATTCCGGCCTTCCACCACCATTAACAGGCTGAGAAATGGGGATCGTAACTGTGTGAGATCTGTCAGCAGAGATGACCTACTGAAGCACAATCGTCCCCTCAGCATCATGGGCAGCTCTGCTAGTGTCATGAGTGCATCAGAGAGAATTCTGACTGAATCAGACCGTCCAAAGCTGTTGAGAAGGGCCTCAATGGAGAGACGCTTTCAGCAGGCTCTGGATATGGGTAAAACTGTGTCTCTGTCCGAGACCAACACCTCCAGTTTAACATCAGACTCTTCTATCAGGAGGTTGACTGTGGACCTCAGTTTTGCAGGGGGAGGGGGTGATGAGGAGGAGGCTGATCCTAGAAACCCTCCAATCATGGTCTCAGATCCACAGATAGACAGCTATGCAAGTGATATGGCTCCCCAGCCGCAGAAATCACCAAAGAAGGTTCCAGTGAAAGCTAAAGTGGACTCCCGTCCTGTCAGTGCTCCTCTGAAGCTGTTTGCTCGGTATGGCAGTGCTGGAAGTGTAAAGCCTGGCATGCCCAATAGGACTCACAGTGCCAACTTCAGTCGAGGAGATGGATTAGGGGTCTACACGACAGGCGCCTCGTCCTCCTGTCTCACCAACAGCAGCCTCCAGAGTCACCGATCTCGCTGCAGCATCCCAGGTCCGCACGCCATCAACGTCTCCAACTGCCGCTCCATCACAGGCCCACACAGCTCCATCCACAGCCTACTGGAAAAGCCTGGCATACCCCGGGATATGAAGCGAGCTGTTCATCACAAATCGGCCTGGTATCACGTCAAAGGCAGGTATTCTACAAACGAAGAACCAGTTCCATCAAAGCGGTCCCAGAGTCGACCAAATTCTGTTACCAGTTCATCAACCAGAGAAAATATACATATCAATGGTGTGAAGGAAAAGAAGTCAATATCTCGTAAGCATGCCGTGGGGAGGATCATCATGTCGCAGCGATCTGAGCCCATGCTTGCACATACACACCCATCACGAGATTCTCAACAAAGGGAGGGAATCCGTGGGGGTGTAGCCTTGAATTATGCTGTTGTCTCATTTAAACCAGAAACTGTGATTGTTACCTGATATCTGTGCTTCACTATCCATTTAGATTTTGTGTACATAGATGTAAAGTATGAGTTCAGAAATGATGTATGATATTAGTCAATACAGGGTAGTAACTTATGTTAGCATTCTTACCTGTAGCTTTGTACAGGTATGTAAAAGTAATTTGTAAATATTGACAAGTTTCCATTGCTTCATAGAAGAACAAACTGTTTTTGCAGTTTTGATTTGTTATTTATTACAAACAAAATACTGATCAAGCCACTACAAATTGGTTACTTGCTTGTTTCTTTTGAAAAGTGAGAAACTGGTGGTGATTTCTTGGATTAAATATGTAAAGTATTTTGACCTATCAGGATGAAATGATTAACCTAGTTCCAGAAATAAGAGTGAGTGTGTGAGTTTGGTTTTACGTCGCTTTTAGCAATATTCCAGCAATATCGCAGCGATCCAGAAATAAGAACAAGTTGCACATGACAACAACTTATGTGAACATGTGGCAAACTAATACTACAAATACCCATAGTATTTAATGGATTGCCTTTGGCAATCTGTGTGCTTTATGTTTTTCTATGTTAAAATATATTAATTTGTAAATTATGGACAATTATAGAATATGATTCTATTTTAAAATATATATTTATTTATTCCCATATTAAGATCTGTTTCACATACAAAACAGGCCAAATGTAGATATTAGTTTTCAGGTATTTGTATTTGTAGCTTGGGCTTCAAAGCATGTCTCTTTATTGCAGGAGGAACTGTGTCTCATTTATAAACTATGCTTTTAATTTCAAATTTAATATATGCTCATCTGTGTTGTATCATTTTTGTTATATTTGTAGATGAACAGTTATCTACCTTGTGCTTCCATGATGAATGATCTGATAGTATTGTGTTGTCATTTATGTCAAAGGATAAAAAGATAGTAAAGGTTGTTAATGGTCATCCATCTTGGATATACATACCGTATTCGCCATAATAAGACAATAAGCTTAAAAAATTGATGTGGGGGTTGCCTATTAAAACCAAACACAACAAATTAAATTTGTGTTTAGAGAGATTGAGTGGTAGTAAGAACTTAGTTCAAATGTTGATGTTAGGCAATTATATACCCCTTCTACTCTACTGTTTACTGTTTTCTGTAATATTCACAAGACAATACAGAAAGTCATGACATATTTTGGACTTAGTAGACGGCGCATATGAAGATTACTCACAGATTGGTCTGGAATTTTGTCAAGGGGTGATTCTGGAGAAGGTTGCTTAATACTGCGAATATGGTATGTTAAGGTGACGATATGCAAGTTTGACCACTGGTATATTACCAGGTTTGTGGGCTGCTATGTCATCTGATAACAGGCCGCTACACATCTTCCCGAGGCAAGTGAGTTAACTGACTATAAAAGTCCAGTTTCCACCCTAAAGTCAGTTAACTCTCTTGCCTCAGGAAGATGGCCTCTACATGGCTATTGCACACACTGCTTAGTAATACTGTAAATGGGTTAAATTATATTGCACCAGAGGGCTAAAAAATGAAGGTGGGTAAACTCAAAGTTGTTTTAACACAAAAACATATTATGTGTCATGTTTGTAATATATCAAATTTGTGTATTTATGAAACTAATAATGAATGTTCCTTTAACTTATCTGTGATTTATATAAGATACTGTGATATTTGTACCAAAATAACTTCCAAGAAGGCCAGTTAGATGATTGACTTTACAAATAGGAAATAATAGTTTCTACCAAGTGGTAGGATCTAAGTGTTTTTCACTGCATTTCATTCAAATGTATGCCACAATGACTCAACTGATTTGATAAATAGGGAATATTTTTATTTTTCATAAATGATATTTCCCTAATAATAACATGAATAACAAGACTGTCAATGCATCATGACAGGAAGCCTGGCTTAGAACATAGTGCTTGATAATGACCTTCATCTGTGCCCTTAGGATAACAGTAGGAGAACTCTTAGACTGACATGTAGTCCCAGAAATAAAGTTATCTTATTTAGAAATATATATCTACATTATAAAAAGAATAAAATCCAAATGGAGCCCAGTACAATCCTTAATTTCAGCTGAGGCAATCTAGACTTGCCAAATCATTCTAGACTCGAGTCGGACTCCTTTTAAAAAAATTCTCTAGGGTCTGGGAGACAGACAAGGGATCTCTCACTCAATTGTGTTCTGCTACAAACTATGATTATTGAGGCGAGTACTTTTAATGAGCAAATTCTGTATGCTTTGACTGTGATATACATCTTTTCAAATGTTACTGATAAATAAAGTGTTGTATTGTTTTCATTGTTGCTATATTTTCATGTTCGTGTCATTTGTGTCAAGATTGTACTTAATTAAATTAAATTAAAATATATTCAATCAACAAATTTTACATTGTTTAATAACTATAACTAATCTTGAACACCATTTTAAATAAAGAAGATTTCTGAACATAATTCTCATCTGTTAAATATGTGAAACCTGTGTTTTTATATTTATTAAACATTTTTGATTTCACAAGTTATATGTCTAGTCTTTGAATACATTTTGACTATAAACTTCTCATTGATATTTAACATTGATAATTAATGATTTCGACAAGTGGATTTTGTTTATCTAACAAGTAACAAAACCAATACGTACTTTGGACCTGGCACAGGAGATAAAAGTATGTTATGTTTATTTAAACAGAGTATGTCTCTGCTGTCTCTGCCCCCCCCCCCCCCCCCCATTAAATTTACTACTTTAAGTTCATCTTTGTTATCCAGCATATTATCTGATTATGTCTCCATCCTATTCTAATAAATCAATTGGACTCATTTAATGGTACCATAGTTTCGTTTAAATAAGTAACTTTAAATAATTTATATTATGGCTTCTGCTTTAATTTGCTCTTGCTCATTTGCGTATTTTGATTGGATGGTTATTATATAATGTTATTGTACTATGTTATTCGTTGACCCAGAGAGTATAGTTTATTAAAAAATGCTGTTTTTATAAATGAAACATGCTTGTACAGACAATAGTCCATTTTTTGGTATCCATATTTTTCTAATATAGATGATCATGGCAGTTTGGAATTCATGTTTTGTTAGACATATTTTTTTAGTTCAATTGTTATATTATGTGGTTACAGATTTTGTTAGACATGGTTGTGAGAATTACTTAAGAAAAAATATCTCTGTTTTTTGACGGAGTCATTACGTTGTTGAGTTCTATTTTTAGAAATGGAGAATGATATGTTGTAAATGTATATTCATAATATGAGTGCTTGAAGGAACATTCCAAGAACATGCCAAGAACAGTCCAAGAACATTCATTGCAAATAAAACCACCTTTACATCATGTTCACTTTGGGTGGATATTTATCCAAAACCTTTTTCTTGATAATTAATCTTAGTTAAGTTCACTTGGCATTTGAGCTATACTAATTCACCTGACTGAAAGTCAAGTGAGATTATGTTGTGGCATGTTGTCCCCAATTGATCCACATAATTGGGATATGATGACATGCATCAACCAAGTCAGCAAGCCTGACCACCCGATCATGTTATTTTCCTCTTACGACAAGCATAGTCGCCTCTTACGGCAAGCATGGGTTGCTGAAGACCTATTCCACCCCAATCCCCAAATCTTCACGGTTTGGCATCGATTGAGTCTGATAACATGAAATGATCAAACCACGGAGTGCAGATACAATGTCAGCATTACCTGGTATTCAAACAGTCCTCTCTACAGAAAATTAACCTTTGCAACAATTAGTTAAAAGGTAGACTCCAGTTCTAAGAGATGACATTTGGGAGGGTCATGATAGAAATGGACAACTTTTTTTGTAAGTTTTGTTTTAATGAGACCATTATACTTCAGGCTGTGACAGATAGAGTGAAGAAAAAGATGATTTCAAAACTGTCCTTTTCAGTGTTCGCTGAACAAAATTAGACCTGGCATCAAGAGGATCTTAACACCAGAGAAGGTGGAAATTGTATCACTTCTTTCAGGAAATGTATTGTGCGGCTTGCAAGCTTATGTAGGAGGGTGTCAAATACACTAAATTTTGGAGAGCCACCTCTGTAATAAAATGTTCCCTCTAAAACAACACCCCATCCCAAAAAGGGTTTCACTGTGCATCATTGATGCTTGGAGGTAATTGGGGCCAGGCAAACCAGTGCACTGGGAGCACCAGACACAATCCACACCATCACGGTCAGATGACACAGGCAGCCAGGGCACACTTTGTAGGTGAGGTGAAATGGGGTTAAATGTCGCCGTCAAGATTACTGCACTTGTATACTGACAAGCATGCACAAGAGTGTGTTTGTGCCTGCGTGCATGCGTGCATGCGTGCATGCGTGCATGCGTGTGACTGCTTGTTTTAGTCCGGACTAATGACGGTTTTATAGTGCTAGCCCACTGAGATACCATGCCACAGTTAAACATGGATGCCCTGAAAGCATATTTTTGTTCCGACCTGGAAAATATATCAGGATTAAATAAAACTACAGTGAAAATGTCCCGACCCTGAAGTGAAAAGTTCCAGTTGAAAGTTGTTCCGGTTGTTTTGGTGTGTTTATGAGCAATGTTCCTGTATTTTGTTAATGTGCCTTTGAAAAACAGAAACTAAGACATACCATTGCAAATAAACATAATCAAAAAGAAAAACAAAAGAATATGAATAATATGTTGGAAATTATTCCCTTGGAAACAAATCCTGATAGTTAATTAATGATCAAGGCAAATGTGACAACGTGTAATTTATTATGACAGAAACGGATAGAATGCAGAGGCCAAAACGCAACCGAAATCGGAAGTAGTGCTACACGAGAATTCCATGAAATAACTTTATGTCAAATAAATTAAACAAAAAGGCAGTCGTCAGAGAATACTACGGCTGTTTGGATGAAGTGTCCTGAAAATGAGTAAAGTTTTTCCACGGTAACAGAGATATAAAAAGAAAACCCATTTTTGAAATGAATTGGTTTGGTTTTTCACACATAGAACATTTGTTACGACCAGAACAAATACATTATTTGTTTGTTGTTTAACGCTGCACTCAGCAATATTCCAGCTATATGACTCCAGCCTGTTAATAACTGAGTCTGGACGAAAAAACCCATTCAAACACGGATGTTTATGTTTGCTTGTTTGTTTGTTTGTTTGTTGTTTAACACCGCACACAGCAATATTCCAGCTATATGACGGCGGTCTGTTAATAATCGAGTCTGCACCAGACAATCCAGTGATTGATATCATGAGCATTGATCTACGTAATTGGGATACAATGACATGCATCAACCAAGTCTGTGAACCTAAACCCAATCCCGTTGGTCGCCTATTACGACAAGCATGGGTTGCTGAAGACCTATTCTAACCTGTATCTTCACGAATCCGACAATCATTGAGACAAATTATTACGAATACTAGTATCCGGATTATGGAAATTAAGTCAGATTTTGTCATTAAAACATATTTTGACCCTTTCATGACATGTATGATTATTTGTAAGACATTACTGTAATTGGTTCTGGGCAGTCAGAAATTTAGAAATATAATGCCAGTGACACTGCAAAATGTCATCTGAAACCTCATCCAAAGTGTTCTCAAATGATCTTGCAAAATATGTACAAATATGGTTTTGAAAGCTTTATTAGATTAAGTTGACAAAACATTTTGGATAACAACTTCTTTATTATACTGTAATGGCCACGTTTCAGTAGAGATCCTCATACCATTGTCAAGCAAGACTGAGTAATGAACATGGTACAGAATTATAAATGGTAGGTGAAGGATTAACAGTAGCAATTACCATACATGACAGGGATTAACACCAGTAGGTTAACTGATAACAACAGAAGGTTGATATTGTAATATGATGGACAGAACACGATGAGGGAGCCAGTTAAACTAATTAACTTACAAGTGTGATGATTGGAACAAATACTGCTTGATGACTTCATAGGCGGAATGGACAGACAGATTCTTTCTCATAGTCTCACCCCGATGTACACCAATATTGTATTACAATCCCTTGGATTAAAATGAATGGCCCATTTCTTAAAGAATTATGAGAGTATAAAGTAAAAAGTATTATACAACTTATATACAAATACTGTTATAACTGATAAAAAATGTTCCTCCGTCACTGTAGAATATATAAAGCAGGTTTTGGCTTGGCTTGGATTGTCTTGCAGATATTCACTGAAGTTTTGTGCTCTTTGATTCTGGTGCTGATGGGGCGGGATGATTCACCGACATAGGATTTTGACACAGTTACAGTCAATTTTGAATTCGTGTATTTGTATTCGTAGGTAGATATTATGAGATATATCTACAAGTTCATCAAGAAGAGCTCGTCCCATCACTTCATTATTCAGCTGAAAATGACTTAATCTGCGATCGCTAAGACAAGTGAACCACATGAAGCGTAATAAAATATTTCCATGTGGTAAGGCTCGGCAAGGTGCTTGGGGAGTGAGTGCAGTTGTGTTAGTGAGTGAGTACGGTTTTGCACCGCTTTTAGCAAAATTCTAGCAATATCAGGGCGGGGGACACCAGAAATGGGTTTCACACATTGTTACCATGTCGGGAATAGAACCCGGGTCTTCGGCGTGACGAGCGAACGCTTAAACCACCAGGCTACCCGACCGCCCCGCAGTTGTATCAAGATGTACGTAATGTAATATGTGACAGAAGTTTTAACGTCTATGTACGATGCACAAACTCATTACTTTCATCACTTACTAACGCAAAATAAGTGATCATTGAAGAATCTCTTGGACATTTTATATCCCATGGTTCCCCTAACCGAAACGCAAACATAAAACCTACACTACGAGCTACACACCAGCATACCGTTCCCAGTTCAGATGAATTGTCTTTGCCAGCAATTAAATACGTTCACCAGTAAGCCAGTTAATCCTCACGGTCAAAACAAACACAACCTGCCCTTCTTTTTTATCAACGACTGTAACCATGACAACGGCCTTCAAACCAGGATCTGCTTCTTGTATTTAGTCGTTTGCTTTTGTGTCGAAGTTAAAGGCCATTCTTCCAGTCTTCATCATAACAAATGACCCCGTCCAGAAATCTTATCCTCTGTGTTTCAGCATCATGCAAATGGCGTTAATGACGAAGTATAATTGGCCATTATAATCAGGACTGTAAGTGTATAGGCTGCAACGCCTGTTTCTTAGATAAACATGTATGAAATAGCGAAAAAGGAATCGGAAGACGTAGACCTTTCTGACTGATGGAGAATCCTTAAGTTTCACATTGGTACTAATCTTACGCGGCTTTAGAGAATGAATAGTATGTTTTCGACAACTAGCAGACTGGACTTGGTGGTGAACTACCATATAGCCGGCCTTTGAATATACAATGTACATGCAACTCTTTAAAACCTAAAACTCGCCAAGTGTTTAGCCCCCATGACATGCAGCTACACCTGGCTGTTTGACGTTGCCGGAAATGGACGATGACGCCTCGTTCTGACTTCGTCTCCATAACATAGTAACCGTTGTCGTTGCCAACGTCCCCCTCTGTTTTTAACAGATTCACTATCGCTCTTGCTCGCTATCGCTCTGCATTTCGTTGACTACAACATGGTTTCGAGGACTTCTACTAACAAGATGTTTACTAGGCTGCATATTCAAGGTATTTGAGAAGACAGTTATTGTATTTTAAAGTGTTTAATATGTAGATTAAAACTGTAACTGGCCATAGTTTGACAGCGGCATCGGTGGGCATGACACTGGCCGCCATTTGCAATTTGTAAAAATTGAGAAATGTGTATCTATTTAATGTCGTTTCTGCCAATGAAATGAGAGCTGTCGGTATTTATATATGACGGACGATGTTGTTAAACTACTATAGATGTTTTTCACATATATAAGACGTAGCTTTAGTATATTTTTATGTGTAAACTTCTCTTTCAAATGTGCGACCTATAATGGCATTACTGTAAGACGCAATGTATATCCACACAAGGATTAAATGCCCATTTTATTTCCTCTTAAACATTCTCGTGGCCTATACGTGTACCAAAAGAGTCTCTTTTGACACTTTGGTCTCTGTTATCGGCAATTCGCGTGTGTTGCTATCGTTTTGACGGCCCCCCAAATATTTTGGTTCCATTGTACATGCATTTAATGTGCATTTAAATGTGATGTTTTGGTTATTTTCAGCACGGGAAGATATGATCCGGTATCATGTCACTCCTGCTGCGAGTTTATGGCCGTCGTTGGATGAGGAATCCGACTGTGTATGTTTCTTATTCACCTGTTCTTCATGATCGACCGAATTGCTTGCTTCTTTTGTCCTTGTATCGATGTCCTCCTATGCATACTAGT